TTACTTTTTAACAAATGGTCCCAGTATAAAAGTAGACAATGACCCATATATATCATGACTGAATTAAAATATTAACAATACTCATTAATACACTATCTATCTAATATTACAGCTAGTAATTTGAATGCTAAACTTATAAAAGTATAACAACGATCAAGATTGATTCAATTTTCATCTACTTTGATTAAATCGTATCAAATTCATACAAATTTTTTTTCTTAAAAATATTAACTCATCTAACACAGTTCCCAATGATAATCAACTCCACTAATCCACATCTATCCCTCTTTTCTTTCTCCCCTGTCTCTTATTTTTTCTTTGTTCACTTTCATTATAAATTGCATAATTAAAAAAAAATCAATTTTTGATATTATAGAGTGTTTTCAGGCATTTAGTAATTTATATTTGCTATATATAAGTACTAATTAATGAATGGGTCTAAATTTTTTTTTCATTTTTTTTAAAAGGGAGAGAGAGAGAGAGAGAAGAGAGATCATACCAACTCATCAACACAGAGAAAATGTACAGAGACACAAAACTTGTTATTCACCACCTTTAGCACCTAGAGTAGATTTGGTAGTCTCCAATAAAGCTTGGTACACCTGGAAGCTAATATGTTGGAGAATATTATTTTAGATTTGCAAATGTAAAATGCATTTATTTTAATTGACTCAATAAGATGAAGAGTGAAGAATAAACTCACCGATCATGGGAGGGAATTCGCCGGCTGGTTGAAAGAGCACAACTTGAGTATCCTGGGAATTATTAATATGAAACATGACAAAATTTTATACAAATCACTATTAATAATCATGTGGAGTACCAATTAATTTAATATTCAAGAATAGACTAAGAAGATGTGACAATGATAATACAACCGACTCACTTTCTCATATTTGGAACCTTTTGATAGTCCTTTTATGTTCATGCCATAGCTTCCAGCATAGTACAACTCTACTAATCGTACAAAGCTATATACTTATCATCAAACAACAATTATTCCAAGCTATAAACCAAACTTTTGGTGACAAATATAGGGTATATTTAATAACTCAAAAGAAGCAGAAGATAAGAAAAAAGAAATGTACCTTGTCTCTCCAGCAAGTTTTCTCACTATTTTTTTTTCATCTGAGAGAAGAAAGAAATTTTAGTAACACAATACATATAAAAAATATCAAGAAACATCACAAATTACTTCCCTTTGGATGGATTTGTTATCTGCTCGAACATGTCCAGGGCTAATGAGTGTTTATCATGTTTCATCAAATTATTCCACACACCTACACAGGGTACAAAGCTATATACCTATCAAATGAATAAGAAATGGTCAAATGAATTAATATGTCAATGTAATTAATCTTACCACTTTGCGAAGATTCGGATCCTCTCTGATATTTCAGTTCACTACCACCATAAAACACACCAAAAATCAATAGTGATAGACAAACAATAACAAAATTGTACAATAAAAACCAATAAAAGGATTGGAAGAAACATAAAGAAAACACACTCGATATAGATCATTTAACTTTTATATACACTCATTTGTGTCGTTTCGAGTCTTGACGTACCACTAATTCAACCGACCCAACAATCCACTCACACATACTCGCAATTGTGCCTCAATATCCAATTCTATGTATTTGTTACTCTGTGTGAATGAAAGTCAGCAAATATGCTACATGCGGCTCCCAATAAAAAAATCTATAAGAACCAAGTAACGGCAATGAGCCAATAAACCCACAATAAGATCGTAGTGCAAATCGACAATAAGAGGGGCAAATATAACACATTGTAGAGGAATCACAAAAATGCATTTGACGGCTTGCTCGAGTACCTAATCTAATTATAAAATTTGCATCACATCCAATCTAACAAAATTACAAAATTCACATTAGATTGAATCTAAGCTAACCCAACATAAAATTGAAAAAATCAAACAAAGTGTAAATCAATTAAAATTTAGTGAAAGAATCAATTAAAATCCAAGAGAAACATAATTTCAACAAATTAGACCCCAAAAAATAGGTACACAAGAAATTCATAATAATAATCTATAATAAAAAACAATGGTAGAGTACACAAAATTTCTCTCAGTCATTCCAACAAACACTTGGTGTCCAAATCAACAAATTTCAATTTGTGTATATTGTGTTTTGTGTGTGTCCACAGTTGGTGTGTGGGTATGTTTGTGATGTGTGTGTGGGTGAGTGGGTGTGGGTGTTTGTTTCTACTATGTGTGTGTAAGCGATGTGTGTTGGGTGTATGTGTGCTGGGATTGTATGTGTGTGGGTGAGTGTGGGTGACGAGTGTGTATGTGTGTGTTGTGCGCTGTGAAGTGAACGAGAGCATAGAGGGGGCAGAAAAGAGGTGGGGGTAGCATGGAGGGTTAGTGTATGTGTTTGTGTGTGTGTGAGAGAGAGAGAGATGAGGAATACTTTTGAGAGGGGTTAGCGGCGGCGGCGGCTGTGCTGTCACTGTGGCGTAACAGAGAAAGCAATAAAGAAAGAGAGAGAGGGGGCAAGGAGTAAAAAAATTGGTGATTTGGCACCAAAAAATGACAACTCTTTTGGAGTTGCTCTTAACAGAGGGTGGGTGGGAAAGAAAAAAAAACAGATAGAAGACTTGTCTGATAGAAAGGAGGAAAACAAAAAAAAAGAGGTAGAGGGCAGGCCGTAGGCGGCAGAATGATGGATAGTCTGTGAAGTGATTGGGAGATGTCAGATTTTTGAAAAATATTGTGCGTGAAAAATAATGAATATGGGAGAAAATAAAAGACAAATTAACGATTGTTGAATAAATTAATTTGAGATCGTTGAATTTTTTTGTTGAACTCGTCCTATTTTACATAATAGATAGAAGAATACAACTATTAGCCAACATGATCAAGAAAGGTAATGCGGGTAAAACTTGACAGGCAAATATAAAAAATTATGTAGTTAGTCAAAGTGAAAGACTAATTGTTATTCCCGTCTTCGAATTTTAAGCCTCCGGCCCGCGCACTCCGCTACTTGTTTTTCAATTGCTCATACGTATCGGTCAAACGGGATATCAAAAGTTTGATTTATTTCTATGCTCCGCTGCCCTCTTCAGAAAATGATTCAATCGTAATGTAACAAATATCTGATTTTCTCCATTTGAAATTATTTTAACCCATTTTATTATTATTGCAGTAAATTGTATAAATAGCCCTTAAACTATGACATTTATATCAATAAAGTTTTTTAACTAATTTTTATGTCAATTGAACCCCTAAACTCTAAAATTTTAGCAATTAAGTCCCAAAATTAATTTTTTTTGTCAATTGAGTTCTTAAATTCTAAAATTTTAACAATTAAATCCTTTTGTCAACAACTGTTATATTTTTAGACGGAATGTCTCACGTGTTCACAACATGAACAACAAATTATGGGTATTTTAAATTGTTTATTCAAAACTTACTAGACGAAGAATTCATTCCTTATACCCATCAACTGAAATTCTAAACTTAAACCTCTTTCATACCCTATCAAATAAATTAGACAGTAAGCTCTTTGAAGATCCTACATTTATGTAATCTATTTTCTACACTAGATCGAAAAGCTTGCTAACTTTGATGGGTAAGAAAGTGATTTAGGTTTATGGTTATTGTTGATGGATATAAAGAATAAAATTCTTCGTCTAATAGGTTTCGAATGAATAATCTAAAATATCCCTAATCTGTTTTACATAGACTGAACACGTGAGACATTCTGTCCAAAAACTAACGATTGCTAACATAAGAGTTTAATTGTTAAAATTATAGAATTTAGGGGCTCAATTGACATAACAATTAATTGAGAGTTGTACCTAGTTTGGCAAGACAATGAACTGGAGAAAAAATAAAAGTTAAATATACCAAAAGTGCCCAGTGAAATTAATACAGAATGCATATTTATTTACTTTTGGGTTTAAGAATATTTCATTGTAATTATTGTACTATACATATACTTCTGGATTGTGAGCATCCTATATGAAGAATTTTTCGTCATAATTCTTGTACTTTGATGTATACATATTTAGTATTACATTTAGGTATTATATGTAACGACCGCATTCAGTAATGATACGTTGAATTTGTTTGGAATGTTTAATAAAAAACATTGGAGTTTTCTTGTTGGAACCCTTTTATCTGCCCTCTTTTTTCCTTTGTTAGATATCTTGATGCAGAACCGGCGGTAAGAATTATACACAGGAATTTCTTGATACTACCATGGCATAGAAGATCTTCCCTTCCCCTCATGGGCACTCACAGACCATGTATCTCCTATGAGGTTGGTGAAGCAGAAGATTGTGGGGAGACGGTGGTGTGTCAAGTTTTCAATTCATTTCCATTTCCAGACTATCAAGCAGATTGATACCACTGCAGCATTTGTGCACAAAAAGTTAGAAATTGGAACGAAATGCTGTTCAAGGGAATGCTGCCCAGAAATTCGATGCGACTTCTCAAAGACTATGCAACTTTGGTCTGCTGCGATGGAAAATGTTATTTGGATTCCAAAAGTTTGACACCATTTGCTGACTCCATCGATCACAGTCATCATTAAAAAAGTAGTGAGTCTTAATAAATATTATGACTCATAATTAAAGTAATGATAGTAACTGACAGAGTCAACAAATAATGTCAACTTTTGGAGTCTAAGTAACATTTCTCCTACTGCCATGAGTGATTTTAGTGTGGTGTGATGTTAGTTATCCACAGCCTGTGGTGTGATGTTAGCTATCCACAGCCTCTTAGAGCATCTCCAAGAGGCTGGCTAAACCCTCCCTTTAGCTATTTTAGATAACTTTCCCCTAAAATCTGACTCCAACAGACTCGTTGTCCCACTATCTATTTTTCATAGCCTCCATTTCACTCATTGGTTGTAGCTAGCCCTCTTCTCCCTCGTTGGCGCCGAGGTCCTTCTCCACTATCTCTCTCTCTTTGTCTCACTAAAGCTCCAAAGCACAAATTATTGGTTTATTTTTTGGGTAATTTATTTTCATGGGTTGGTATGCTTGTTGTGGATTTTGTCTTCATCGTCTTTAGAAGGCTTCATCGTCTGAATCAGTCCACTGAAAGCTTCATTGTCTTCATCCCTCTTGAGATCTGGCTGCATCGTAAAAGGCACAAATCTCAAATCATCTTTCATCGCAGAAGGCACAAATTGCAGAAAGTACCTAGGATTTGATTGGGCTTCATCATCATCATCCTTCTTCAATGGCGAACATAAAGTATTTGGGGATTTGAGAATTTTTACCATCTGGATTTTACCATCTGTATTATCGTTGAGCTTTGTATGAGAAGATGAAGAATTGAGGTAGTAAAAAAATCAAACAAAATTCCCTTGAAAATTCAGTAAAACTCCTAAAAAATTCAAAAAACTCCCCCAAAATCCAACAAAACTTTTTAAGTATTTTATGATATTTACTCTTGTAACCCATCTTTTATGATATTTATTCTTGTAGCCCATAATTGATTAAATTTATACGATACATAATTGAATTGCTATTTTTTAAATTTTATTATTAAAAGTTAGCTGAAGTAATTAGTTTAAATAGATAGCGTTGTTGGAGTAAATTTGAAAAAATAGATAGTTAAAGTAGATAATAAAATATTTAAATATATTTTGAATAGCTATTTTAGATAGCATTGTTGGAGATGCTCTTAGAGCATCTCCAACGGGATAGCTAAACTCGGCTTATTAGCTATTATTTTAGATATTCACTCCATAAATTTGGCTCCAACCGGTTATCTACCACACTAACTATTTACCCATTTTTCTATTTTGGCTCGTTGGATCTAGCAAGAGAAGAAAACTAGCTATTTGAGTTCTCTCTTCAACAGAGGTGGATTCTCTCTTCATGTCGGCTCTAAAGACTTCACCATCTAAATCGGCTCTCTCTATCTCTCTCAATCTCACCATATGACTCTCACCATCAGAAATGCGTTCGATTGAGATAATTTTCAACTTCATCAATCAGTTCTGTAAGATTTTTCTCAATGAATTTTTTATTTTGAAAATGGGTTTTGGAGATTAAGAGAGTTTGTGGTGATGAGTATGTATTTTGAAAATGAGTTTTAGATATTTTTGAGATGAGTTTTTGATAATTTGAAGAGACTATGATCTCCCAAATGCATAAGCAGAGGAAAAGGGACAAATGCATCACCTTGCCATGTTTTTAGCACGTTCGGCCTCATCCCAAGCTGTTGCTCGGGTTTCCAGAGGGTTCACCTTTATACTTTGATCTGAGTTCCTATTCTCAAGTATATTGTTGATATTGAACTCTTCTCCGTTTTTGATAAAAGATAGGCTCTTATTTTATGATATTTACTCTTGTACCCCATCTTTTATAATATTTACTCTTGTAGTGCATAATTTATTAAATTTATACAATGTATAGTTGAATTGCTATTTTTTTAATTTTATTATTAAAAGTTAGTTGAAGTGGTAAGCTAAAATAGATAGCGTGGTTGGAATGAATTTAAAAAAATGATTAATTAAAATAAGTAATATAATATTTAAATATATTTTGAATAACTATTTTAGATAATATGGCCGCAGATTCTCTTATAAAGGGATGCATCTCGGTTTCCAAAGTAGGAAATGATTAGTTTCATTTTTGACGCAATGGGAACGAATGAACATAAATAAAATATTGCTTCTAAATGTATAGAACGGGAATAATTTTAAATACATGGAGGAAAAAAAAAAGAATAACTCGGAATATTATTGATGATTGAATAATAATTTGTATTGTACATCACAATATATATAGAAATGACTAAAATTTTAATCGTCCCCAATGTGGTAGTAAAATTTTTAATTATACAAAAATTCTCAAAAATAAAAAATTACAATTTAACAAATTAACAAAAATACATATGTCGTTTGAAATTTAATAAAATTGATAACACTAAATTTAAAATTTCTTGTAATTTGTTAGTAATTTTAAAATTCTTTGGCAAAAATTATATTTTCAGAGCTTAAATGACAAAAATTTATCCAAAACTGTAAAATTTATGGCACAAATAATTAATCTTGATCATTGACCCGATCCAAATTAAACACCAGATCTCAATTAATTTCAAATCTAACTTATTTTGCCTCTACTATCACATTTTTGCCTTTCATTGAGCTTTGAACGCACGACAGTCCACCTGTTCTAAGTGATCCACTGTCACCAGTTCTACATCAATTTTGGACCAGAAAACAGAGATACCCCAGTGACGTTTGCAATATCGAAATGAAAACTAAAAGATACAAACGGCTTTCTATGACATCATAGAAAAAGTACACACCACGCTAACTTATTGACCTATGCTTGACATTATCTGCAGAATGTTCTGTTCAACGGCAAAGATTTTGGCCAAACACGAGATACTATTTTGCAATTGGATAAACCAGTAGAAAAAACTGAATTTTGAGTTACTCTTTTAACAAAAGAATATGAACCCTGGCAGGTATGGACACACCTGAGACAACCTGGGCAGAAACTCCAGTTCAAAGACAAAGATTTTCTCGTGGTCGGGAAAATACATTAATCTACGAAGAAAACAATGTCTGAGGCTTCAAAACAACCACCATAACAACACTAGCAAGACTCCTGTGAGCATTAGCAGAGGGGAGGTATTAGATATCTTATGACTCCCACTGTCATTTGCTGATTCTGTTGGTGCTAATGCAGGGCATGCAAGCCCTTGTTTCCCCTCCTGGCACTCGCTGGAAAAAAGGCCCGGTGGGTACTTCCCATAGAGGTTGATGTAGCTAAACATGGTTGAGGCACAATCATTCGATAAATCATTCAGCTCGTCCGCGAAAGGACAAGCAAATTCTTTAAAAGCATCGCAGCATGGTTGGGGTAAGTAATGCGGCCCTCTGCACTGGCTAGTGATGATTGTGTAGTTCTGAAACTCAAAGTTAACCGGGCATGCTGCAGATAACACAGGACAAAATAAGCACAAAATTGAAGCTTTTCAGATATTAAAAAGAAGTTTGAGCTACACTTCAAAATGGGCTTGAAGATGAAATCACGATCGTTTGGATCAGTGAAATCAGCACTTTCCATAACCATGTTTCCTCACAAAAATAACTGCTGAAGTATGCTCAAGCACCCAAACAACCCCACAAAGAAAAACCATAAACTCTAGAGTAAGCATAATATTTGTAACTCAACAGGCCCTATTCAACTTGACAAACGTTGAATTTCAATTGCCTGGGGAACTGTTCCATGATAATACATAAGGAATAATAATAGAAAGTCTGAAGAAAATATCAAAAATTTATACAATCGGCATACAGTGCAGTACATGTAGAAGCTTCCTAAACAACTAAGGGGGTACCATTTGTGTAATCATGTTGAGAACCTTGTGGTATTGAAACTCCCACTTCACGTAATAGCACATTTTAGCCATTTAGAAACTCATAACAGAAATTCTACATGATATGTGTGCTGAAGGTCTCAGGGCGACGCCAACAAAATATATACAAGCAAGCATTGCAACACTATTGAAGGAAAACGCTGAAGATCCTAGTCTTTAAGTTCGTGATCTGGATTTTTGCAGTTCAGTTTTTAATTGATTCACATCCTTTACACAATTAGCAAATAATTAGCAATTAATTGATTCACATCCTTTATTTAAAACTGTCACTCATATAAGCTCTCTGTCATTAATCAAGTGTCTCTCCAATAAGATTTTGAACTTCTAGTGCAATTGACAATTATGAACTTCTTATGGCTCATTATTCCACATATGGATGGCATACTTGAATGAGTAAATCAAATGACATTATTGCTGAAATTCCCAATTGGCTCCGTTGGAAATGCCACAAGACGTAAAAAAGTTCAACCAACTTATATAAGCTGCCATGTGGATTGCAAGCTAGGATACAGAACATCTTAATATCTCCTACTGCCTTCTTACTCATTAGAATTCAAATAAAAGAGTCTCTATTCACCTCGATTTGCACTGATCTACAAATTATAAAAAATCGATGCCAAAAAAATCTTGTTTCATTGAAACAGCTTTGCTGGTAAGTTGCATGAGAGATCAACTGGCTTTTAAGGTCTAATAGATACCTAATGGTCCTTAACTGGAGATAGAAGAATGTACTTCGTAATGCCTTTATCTTTTAGTTACAAATAAATTTATCAACAGTATTGAATTCTTCCACACAGTAAACTTCAGTCTCTTGAATTGGCACAGAAAATAGGAAAACTTCAATGAGCAATCTCAAGATCATGATCTTTCCATCACCCATTCATCTCATAGTCATGAAAGATAGTGAAAATAAATAATGCCAAACTGTGCAAATGCAGCAGCTCAAAAAAGTAATTCTTCAGGTGGAACAATTGGCATGCAATTTCATTCTCAAAATTCAAGAATTTAAGGGAACAATTTTGAACAAAACAATAACATTTTCAATTCTCCTATCCCAAAAGTCTCCTATTCATACCCACAAAAACCCAAGACGGGTTGTCTTTGACTGTTTGACAAGAATAATCCCCAAGCATTGTCCATCAGCAAAGTCATTAATAAATATTCATCTCTCACTGAAATAAAATTTAGAAAAAAAGCAAAAGATAATGATAAAAGAACTCTCAAAAAAATATAGAATCTATTTTCTAATTCTTTGGACTGACTACACTTTAAGGCAATTAATCCAACTAATATCATGTATAGCTCAAAAGATAAACCAATTTCAAGGCAAAATCTTCACGTATTTTAAGATTAATTTGAGCTAAAAAAAACAGCGTGTATACACACACACACACACACAGATTAGAATAACAACCACGAAAATGACTTCAAGCATGTAAATAATTAATGAAAAAAACGAAAAATAAACCTGTCTTGGCCTGAAGAAGGTTCCGGCCGGTCGAAGCGTCAGACCCAAAGATCCCATCTGTGACATAAAACACACATTTTCACTTATATACGCAGAGAAAACTTGAGAATTGAAAAGAAAAGCATCATATACATATGCATTTATAAATGTATGTGTATCTAAATTCCCCAAAAATCCATATATAAGAGAAGGAATCTACAGACCTGAAATGAAAGCGGAAGAAGCAGATGCAGCATAGAAGCTGGTGAATAGGAAGAGCGAGAGACAGAGAATCATCACATGAGTAGTAGAAAATGAAAAACGGAAATTCCACTCCATAACTTTGATAGTTCCGATCTGTATCTATGGAACTCCCACCTCTTCTCTTTTTCTACAGATCTCTTCCTTCCTCCCCCTCTTCCTTCTGGTTCAATAACTGACACTGACCTTCTCAACTATATCAAATATGTATATGCGGGATATAGAGGGAGATAGAGACAAGTGATTACACAGAGAGAGAGAGAGAGAGAGGAGAACATGGAGTACAGCCGGCATTTGGCGAAAACACGTTTTCATTACGAACCGCGTCAACCGTTCCCCGAAGCCACATCATTAATAAATAACATGGGCCCAATAGAGTAGACTAGATTTTAGGGTTAATTAACGTAGTGGTTTGTAAAGTATAAAGTTTATTTTAATTTAGTTTTTAATATTTTAATTATATTATTTTAATTTTTAAAATATTAAATATATTTTTATGTGGTCTCTAAAGCAGATATTTTCATTTTAGATAATTTCTTATTATAAAATTGTTACGTAATATCTAAATATAGGTAAAAATAATAATTTAGATAATTCTTAATTAAATTTCTATCAAAATTTTAATCAAAAAATTATAAAAATTACACAATTTTGTTCGTAAGTTATTCAAATTTTAGTCAACAACTACTCATATTACACATTTTTTGTCGTAAGTTATCCAAATTTTGGTCAAAAAATTTTTAAATTATTTTTTGTCCATATTTAAGTATCAAGTAACATGTTTCTAATAAAAAACTGTAAGTAATTTGGATATTGTCTACTTAATGGACCACATCAAAATATATTCAATACTTTAGGGACTAAAATGATATAATTAAAATATTAAAGAACAAAATGAGACAAACTTTATATTTTAAGGATCTCTAGTACAATTAATCAAAGATTTTATAAGAAATTAATAATCTAACACACAACATCTTTTTGCACTACCTTATTAAGAAAAAAGTATTGAATACAACAGTAATACCCTCCAACGTTGACGTGGTATTATCAATTAATAATAAAATATTAAGTGGACAAGTTAAATCCTACTTGAATAGTTATATACTTATATGAAAAAAGAGTAAGTAATTATTTGCTTACATAGAGAGTTGATTATTAATTTTAGTAGGATTTATTTTGATATTATTTATTAGTGATACTACGTCAGTATTTCCACGTAGTATCATTATTACAATGAATATTCAATTTGTTAATTAATTTGTGTCTAACAAATTATATTATATTGAGTTCGTATCATATATGAATCATGCATAATTGGTATATATACGAGTCATATCGTGTATTTTATTGGTTGACTTTATCTCTACCTGAATTTTTTATTAATTATGTCATGCAGGTCAACTCATTTATGAAGCGGGTGACTTAAAGAAACTCCAAACGCTCTAATTTTGTATTTTATTCGTGTTCGATCAATAAACCTTGCTATATTTTAACACTTCTAATTCGAATCTATAGTGACTATTCGTTGTATTTATATGACCAGATCCTCCATTATAAGAATTTAGGATAGGATATACTTTAACCCTTAATTATATTTTTCATTTTATATTATTTCCTTTATTATTAAGTTATTTGTTTTAAATTATCCATGTGAGTAAGTTTGTTACAAATCTAATAAATAGTTGTCTCACTTGTCCTTCGAACTTTGTGATTTTATTTCACTTTAGGATGTTGTAAAACTATATCAAGTAGATAAAGAAATAATGTGAGAAATTTAATTATTCATAAAACGAAATAAGATCAATGCCTTAGTTTGATAAAAAAAAAAGATCAGTGCCTCAATTGAGTTGGTCAAATTCATTAATTTTTGGGCAATGGATGTTTGCCTTACGGTTTTCATAATGTTATCTGTGGAAAATCTTTCCCATGGCGCTGTTCTTTATTATTTATTTATATTAATGGAGGAAGACAGCTAATAGCTAATATGATCAAGAAAGGTAAGGTAAGGTGGGTGAAACTTAAAAGGCAAATATAAAAAAGTAGTATGTAGTTAGTCAAAAGTGAAACACTAATTATTATTCGATTCTTTGAATTTTGAGCCTCTGGCCCGCACACTCCGCTACTTGTTTTTCAATTGCTCATTTGTATCGGTCAAATGAAACATCAAAAGTTTGATTTATTTCTATGCTCCAGAAAATGATTCAATTGTAATGTAGCAAACCTTTGGTTTTCTCCATTTGAAATTATTTTAACTCATTTTATTATTATTAGAGTAAATTATATAAATAGCCCTTAAACTATGACATTTATATTAATTAAGTTTTTTAACTAATTTTCATGTCAATTAAACCCTTAAATTCTAAAATTTTAGCAATTAAGTCCCAAAATTATTTCTTTTGTCAATTGAGCTCCTAAACTCTAAAATTTTAGCAATTAAGCGCTTTTGTTGGCAACTGTTTAGTGTTTAGACGAAATATCTCATGTATTCTCCACAGGTAACAAATTATGAGTATTTTAAACTGTTCATTTAAAACTTATTAGACGAAGAACTCATTTTTTATACCCATCAATTGAATTCTAAACCTAAACCTCTTTTATACCGCATCAAATGAAGCAGATCAGTAAGCTCTTTGAAGAGCCTACATTTATGTAATCTATTTTTTATACTTGATTGAAAAGTTTGCTAGTTTCGTTTGATGGGTAAGAAAGTGGTTTAGATTTAAGGTTGTTGTTGATGGATATAAGGAATAAAATTTTTTATCTTATAGTTTTCAAACGAACAATCTAAAATGTGCCTAATTTATTTTTCATGTGGTGAACACGTGAAACATTTTATTCAAAAATTAACGGTTGTTAACATAAGGGCTTAATTGTTAAAATTTTGGAATTTAGGGACTCAGTTGACATAAAAATTAATTCAGTGGCTTAATTGCTAAAATTTTAGAGTTTAGGGGTTCAATTAATACAAAAATTAATTCAAAATTAATTGACACAAAGATTTTAAGAACCATTTACGTAATTTAATCATTATTATTATATCTACGTTCTTCATTGTTGGAAGCCACGTCTACAGTGCTGCATCCAAATATTCTATGGTACTACCATAGCTCCATTGACTTTAACACAAGTCGTGCACACCTGTCTCTGTTTCTAGTGTTTCTCTCTCTCTCTCTCTCTTATTATTCTCATTCCACAAGCAATTGTGAAGAAACAAATAAGCAAATGGCAGAGGAACACTCATTGAAGCTGTCTAGTTCCAGAGATCCTGAAATAGGGCAACCCAGTATAGATGACTCTCATTGGTGCAAGGTCCGAAGAGAATTATGACCTGTATATGGACAAACTGTTTCATAATTCGAAATCGTAACACTGATAATAGTTAAACCACCTTACTGAGGTGACAGGTTTGGGCAGAAGCAGAGCTTGTCTCAGTGCTCAGTCAGGAGTAACAGAAAATCTGCTTGAATGTGGTGGGTGCATCTTCCCCATCTTTGAATCAGAAATTTCATTCACAAAAATTCCAGTGCAAATGAAAACTAATATGGTTCTAGACATAGGCTTATGGTCTGCAAATGCCAAGTGTAAAGAATGCTACAAGGTATTTCAATAACAGGAGAGGAAACAAAAAGATACTGCGCACTACTGTAAAACATTGCATTAAGCTTTTCTTTGTCTACACTGTTTCAATATATGAGTAGGGGACAGAGAAACAACCCTCAGGGATGTAGCTCTAGGTTCTGTCAGTTACTGTTTGTAAGTTGGGGAAATAAGTTATAACCAGGGGAAAAAAAGGAAAAAAGAAAAGAAAACGTCCGCTTCCTGTTTATCTGTTTGTGTACTTGCCTGACCATGTCCCAAGAAGGCATACACCATTCAAACTGACTTCTTGCTATACCAGTCGGTTCTTGATGCAAAGCTTGCTCCAATATCGACTTCCAGAATTCAACACAGTAACCTTCGGTGCTGCAAAAGAAACCTCACATGTCATGGTAAGGAATTAAAGATGTATAAATACAATGCAATCATTGAATGGCATGATTCAAGTTAGGACTTAGAACCTGTCTCACAACAATAAACTAAGACCTATCAAACTAGCATATATATATGAACCTTCTGGACCTCTCCACTCAATTCCAATTGGTTTTCAGTTGAATGTTCCGACGTGGTATTAGAGTTTGGCACGTGGGGAAGTGTTATATGTCTTGTGGACCTCTCCACTCATAACCAATTGAGTTTTGAGTTGAATGCTCTCATTTGGTATCAGAGCTAACCCTCTAGTGGTTAGTGGGCCAAATATATCATCCATTTGAAATTTTCTATTTTTTTGTCTGTTTTAAATCAATTTGTTAGCCACATGCAAGACCAAGTCGAACTTGAGAAAGGTCTGAAGAGCAATTGTACATCACATCGAAAGATTAGAACCACGAAGGTTGATTTTTATAGTTGAAGGCTTGCATGTTGATTGACTGGGAAAGCAGAAACACAGCTCCCTCCCGATCACCTTCCCTTACACACATTCAATTAAAACTTCAAATAGAGACCAATGAAGTCAGGTTCAGGTCCTAGCAAACTAGACAACCAAATCTCCCATGGAGGATTAATAAAACAAAAACAGGAAGAGTGCCGCAAAGAAAAGATGCTCTGACAAATCATCTACATAAATCAAAATTGCTATGATAGGCGATAGCTTAATCTACTGATTAATCAATTTATCTAAATGTTCTTTTCTTTTTTTGACACATATTCACCCAATATTGTGTAAAAATAGAACTAAAAAAGGAAGAGTGACTTACTCGAAATTTGGACTCCTGCAAATTCTCCAGCAACTCTCCAATCTCTAGTTGCTTCACTACTGCTGCGTGCAATACCTATCACAAATATGATTATGAATCAGCTGTATCCAGGCTTCAAAGTTTTCGCCATTTCATTCAAAGATGATGAGGCTTACTCTCTTTGTTTTCTCAAGGTCAAACTCCACAGACTTGATCCTGTCCAGAGACTGCTGAAGCATCTCCTCCTTCTCCAAAGGAATTTCAGCAGGCTTCTTGTTAAGTTCTTCCATTAATTTTTCCAATTTCTGAAGACGCTGTACACATGGAAGGACACGATCTTCTTTGCTGACAGTTTCTGGAGGAACTGGTGAATGACCATTTGTTTCGTCTTCTATGGCATTAGATGGACATATGTTGGTGTGCCTTCTCCAGGACTCAGAGGGTATTCTACGAAGCAATGCATGGAGTTTGACAACAACTGATATCGATGTTCTTGCCATATACCGGAAACTTCTCTTTACAATCTTTTCATGGATGGTGCCAAACCAATGGATCACCTGAGTGCCTAAAATAACACGATGACAGAGAAGAAGAAAATGAAACACAAAAGGAAAAAGCACACTTTGTTAATGAACTTTAAAACTACTAGTCCAGGACAAAAAACAAAAATGAATTCTAAAAGATAATTATGTTTATTTTATTTTTTTTGGAGACAAATTTTTCTCTACATACGTATGACTACCACACCACAAATAAGTCACAACAACTAGTATTATCACTTGAACCAATGCGATCGCAGCAGAAAACTCAGACTTGTAATTTGCATTCTCTTTGAAAAGATTTTACCAACTATGCTTTGCCTCTTATTATTTTTTCCCCGCAGAAAGCAGACAAACAACATGAATTTTGGCCACATTGCTTGGCTTATGTGAAGTAATACTAGAAAGCCCGAAGCAATGATGCTTTGAAATTCTACCATCACCTGTATGTTACCATGTGCTCTGAAAATTAAGTGCATGTCGCATACTCTAAAGAAGGGATAACAGCCACAGTATAATAAGAGGGCATATACCTTCAGAATTCGGTGTTGAGTCAACAGATGAATTCTCAACGTTGTCACTTTTAGGGGATTGATCCTGAGAATATCTGAATCCTTGGTCAGTATCAGTAGCTCTGTCAGCCTCATTAAAATGATCATCACAACTGTAGTAGACAGTTGGCTCAGATGCCTTGGCCTGCACAAATTACAAAGTCTGTGTCAGCCGTAATTCAATTGTGTGATTAATCAGGAATACTTGATCTCAGAAGGTTGCATTTGAAAGCAAAAATGCAAGATCTTGAATCAAAGGTTCAACTACTCACTTCTTCATGACCTGAGACCAAGCGTGGAAACTTAGGGCTACTTCGTATAGTTGGAGGACAAGAATTAGCAACATGTGATCCCGACTCCAAAGTAGACGTAGCACAGCTTGTTCCCTGAGCCAGAGATTAATCATATGAGAAAGTACATAACATATCACACAACACATCAACATACTGCATATAAAAGCAACTTGCCTTCAACGGGCATATGTGAATGTAAGAATCAATTTTCTGTAGGTCACTAGATACACCGGTGATTTGCCTCACAAATGTCGCCTCTGCGTGATATACAAGCTTCAAAAGGAACAAACTATTCTAGCTCAGAATTTCCTTCGTTCACATAAGAATATGGTTCAGTTTTTTGAATAAGCAAACACAATCACACTTAAAATCAAGCATAATACGATTATGCTCAGGGCATATAGCAAATAATTAAAAAGTGAAAATTGCAAATTAGAGTATGCTTACCTTCATTATTGCCGGAACATTCCACGGACCCATATTAGACCTAAGGCACCCTCCTTCAGCAGAACACGTGCACAAGCCACCCAAGAAGTCAGGCAACTGACTGAAGAGGAAAGAACAAAAAACAAATTAGACAATCTTATCATTGAAAATTATATGAGGTGGAAACAGGAGAAGACAGCACACCCTGGGTCAATGGCTTCAAGTAGTTTGCCCAAGGATTTAGAATCCAGCACCTGCACAGTGGGGACACAAATGAGCAGTACGTTAACGTGACTGTAAATGGCCAAAAAAATTAGAAAGCCTAAGCAGACACTTTACCTGTATTTTTGCAATAGTTTTTGCATCAAGAAATTTCTGAGCAGCAGGCCAAAGCATCTTCTTGAAGCCAGGACCAGCATTAACTATGAACATTCGATGTAGAGTCTGAATACAAATGTGGAAAAAAAATGTCAAAAAACAGAAAACAAAAAATGTCGTGGAAATAATGAACAGAACAGTATATCGACTATGAGGGAACTGTTGATGTTATTTTCAAAACTTTCACAGAACAGGATTGAATACCTCGGGGTAATAACTGTTATCAATTTTTGTCATGTTTGCCAGGAGGTTAGCAGCTGTCTTCGTGAAATTCTTGACACCCTGCATAATACAATAATTGATATAGCTAAAATTCTAGACTGACTAATGGGTCTCTATTGTGAGTAGAGAAGCCCTCAACAATCAGTTGCTACTAGAGTAAGAAAATATCCAACACTATCAGTAAAAGCAATGTTAGTTCCTTATTTATGCCCCACTCCATCAATGGTATAAGACGGACACGCTAAATGCAATACATATTTAAAGATGCTTGTGAACAAAATAAGCTATAAATGTCTTACAAGGCTATAAATGCCATGGAAGACACAAATTATGTAACAGAAGAACTCATTCAATTTGGCTGCGATGTTCAATTAAAGTCCAACATACCAGGCCTTGCACATCCAAAATTGTTGTTGTTGAATAAATCTTTCTCTTTGCTGCAATGGAACACGCAGGGAATTTTTCATGTAGAGCCCTCTCAAACTCTTGAGCATGGTATTTTAAGTAGCGATTGATTGTGGTGATGCCCATTAATTTGCTTGGATGAGCTTTGCCAAGCCTTTCAATATATATGGGCCTGCCTTCCATATCAACTCCATGGTATCCTTGAGGGTAGTACTGCAGGACTTCTTCCAGCTCTTCAAATTCAAAATCCTGATCATCAGTTGGTTCAATATATTGCAAGGTTAGGACAGCAAACAATTGGAATTCAATAAAAAAATAACCCTTTAATAATAGATGCCATCAAATTATTGGAGGAAACCCAGAAATTGGATGCCACTGAAGTACTTGTGCAAGTTAAAAATACAAATACATCTAATAGTACACAAATCTGTTATTTATTAAACTTGCTTAAAAATACCACTCTGATTTACAACTGCCTGCCCAAGGAAATCTTGATATTTCAAGTGCTTGCTGTTGACACCATAGGGCTGGTGGGGTGAATTTGTGTAAGTACCTCCAATATGGTGTCTGTTCCATACTCTTTCCTCCAGTTAAGCATTTCTTCCCACATCTGGATGGTTTTGTCAATATTAAAATCTCTTGCTTTCAAGAATCTACATGAGAAGATAAGAATAATTTGAAGTCAAACGGTAACAGTGGGTACAAGATAAAACATGAGCAAACTAGCTGAAAATCCAAACACCACAACATTTCAGTTTATTATATACAAAAGCTCACAAATAAACAACAACGACAATAGATAACTCTTCAGTCTGCATAACTTTTCACTTGCAACTCTTATCTACTGATTCTGTTTGAGCATATACACTTATCCATAGAGATAATTAGATCCAGAGTCTTGCATATCATCTCTACAGCAAAGTGGTCATTTATTGAGTTGACAGGGTCCCTTGAGTTACATCAGTCAAGAAAATATACTTACCTTCCGGAACAAGCATAAGTGAAAGTTTATCCATTAGAAGACCTAGCGGATACCGATCGGGATCTAGAGTCCGCGGGCGTAGTTTTATAGTTTGTTGCGGATCACCTACCACGTTAAGGCCTACCTTAATTTGACTTTGACTTATAGTTATAGTGGATCCAATGATTATATATTAGACTATACCAACATATGCAAATGATTGGCATAACCACCGGTAGGACAGAGACACAGGTTGCAGTTTAAGTTCCAGAGTCTACACATATGATAAAATCATACGTAGTACACAATGTTTGACATCAATTCCAATCAAACACCCAAGCAAGGTATTAAAGCTAGTTAAGAAGTGATTACAGCCAATTAAACCACTGAATTTGTTCAAGTGACTCAATGGATGCAATGTTGTATAGTTCAAAAGAATTAATTCACCTCAACAAAGTATGATAGTCATCATGTCTAGCTGGCAACAAATCCCTGTCAAGGAGTTTTTGTCGCAGATCATAGACAGCACTCTCCTCTCTGGCATCACGCACATCCTCTATGGAAACTGGAGGAATCCTGTAATCAATTTTCCTTTTCCCTCTTTTTTTGAGAGAATGAGTGAACTTATTTGAAGCATTTATTGCCTTCTTTCTTAGAACCCCAATCTTTGATCGCCGTCTCTCGTCTTCAGAGTTCTCAAAGTCTGATCTCCTTTCTCTTATTTCATCATAAGCCTCCAGTCCTTCTAAGCCGAAAATATGAAAATTACAATAAGAATTATTATACTACTCTAATAGCAATTGAGTGACCTGATATGGTAATTAAAGAGATAATGGAATGTCACATGCCTGACATCATAGCCATTTGCAGAAGGAAGAGACTTGGCCCTAAGATTTAGAACAAGAGAGGTCGCCCCCAAGTGAAATCATCCAAATGCATGTGGGTCTATATCATTAAAATCAGAAAGAGAAGAGAGTCAGTAACAAAAAGAAAATAACATACTGCAAATTTAAAAACATTCAAAATTAACCTTAGAAAAGGAAAGAAGAAGATGGAGGATTGTAGTTTAAAGCAGGTAAGGTAAATCCTTTTGGTTGTGTGGAACATAGTGACTGAATGGGTGCATGGTCAAAGTGGCAAATTTCACCATAATGAATCTTAAAACAAAATCACAAAATGCAAGTATTAGAACCTCTACAATTATCATTGAACAAAAAAGAAAAGTAGAAGAAGAAGATAGAGGATTGTAGTTTAACGCAGATAATGTATATCCATTGGCTGTGTTGGACAGAGTGACACAGCGAGTGCAGTTTCACCGTAACGTAACAGTTTGTGTTAGACCATATTGAATTCAAAACAATCGCCCCAGAAATTGAAATGAAGAGAAACCCTTTTTCCTTTCATACTCACTAAACAGTTTCCCAGAATTTCGAAGAAAACAAAACAATCACACTTTCCCGAAAAGGACAAAATGTTCACTTATATTCTCACTTGCAACATCAACTCAACCAAATAACCTTTTAACATCCAAAAAAATAGTCTTCTCTAAAAAGAAGAAGAAGTCCAAGACAACAGATATTTGCAAAATCTTAACAAAACAAACAGATCTGAAGCTACTGAATGCTCCAACCATACACAACTAGAAATGCTAGGCTTGCTCCTATTCTTACCAAAAAGGGTATTATTCAGTCTCATATTGTATAACTATACTATCTTTCCAATGTATAATAAGGATTTACAATAACTCAAAACCAACAGAAGATCGTCATCATTATCCCAGACTCAACCAAAAAAGGAAACGAAGCAAGAGAATTTCAAGAGAAATCCTTGTATTTGCAACAGAGTTTTGACTTCTGAAACCAACATGGAAAGGAGAGAGGCATCAAAACCTGAGCATATCAACCATCACTTCTCATATTTATACACTTGTAACGCTCCAAGTAATAAATAAAAGAACATTAAATTTCAACAATGCCAGATAGTAATTCTTTAGATCTCACACAATTTGTAACAAACAAAAAACACTTACTCTTTGAAACATAAAACATACATGAACCTTCACAGGTTTGCAAATACATTCATACATGAATATATATATATATATATATACATCTAGACGAACCTGAATGAAACCCTAAAATAAAAGATGGATCGCAATCGGCAAAGCTATTCCATTGGTTTCCTATTTGTGAATTGATGCATATGAGTAAAATCTATTTCTATATCTGCAAGATTATGGTAATATTTTCAGATTTTCTGAAGAAAAATCTTTGGCGAAGCTGGTAATGGAGGAAGATGTGATGATTGCAATCACGCAACTACGTATGCATAAAATATTTTCTTTCTCTCTCCCTCTTTCTCTGTCTCTCACTCGAACCTATTTCTGAAGGTTCGACCGTCTCTTTCCCTGTGCTTGTTGCGTTGTCTTAGTGTTTGTGTTAACGTGTCCTGATTTTCTTTTTTTATTTTTATTTTCTATTAAAAACAAAACAAAAAAAAGCATGGCCCGGACGACGTCTTCATTAAATGGTGCGAAATCTGATTCCGACAAAAGAAAGGTTGGGTAAGGGTTACTCTGTGGTCGAGTCAGATTCACTCTCTATTACATTTTTTTTTTCATTTTTTTTGATAAATTATTTCGTTCTGAAATTTCTTCTCTACTCTCCTAGAGGGTTTCGATTCGAAAGTTATTAAATGTGACAGGGATTCACCTATATCGACTAGTGCAAATTCAAGGGAGGTGATCGAGGGGACCAGACTTTAGATCTATTAGAATTTGATTCAAAATTTTTAATTGTCATAAATGAGAGTTTGTTGAATAATCAATGTAAAAATTTATAATATAAAACAGGATAGACTTCAATAAACTCGTCCAATGGTCTCAAATAAATTCATCTAACGGTCACTAATATCTGTCTCAAAACTATTTAATTGTACCGTGCCTTTAGACACTAGTTACCTTCTAATTCTATATGAAGTATAATTATGTTAGAAACTTCATGGCAGACTTCAATTAGTTCGTCCAGCGGTCTCAAATAGATTCATCCAACGGTCCTAACATCTCTCTCAAAACTATTCAATTGCACCGTACCTTTAGACACTGGTTATCTCCTAGTTCTATATAAAATAAAATTATATTGGAAGAGTTTTAGTATGTCATGAATAGGTATATTAGACATGTAATAGGAAATATAAAAATTAAATTATATTTGAATAGGTTTGAGTTACATAATTTTATCTCTATAAATAAGTGTGTGTACTATATAATCAGTTACTAGATTTCAATGAATAGATTTTTGATCCGTGGATGTAAATACGATGTTACATAATTTAAATAAAATCTAAAAAATTATATCCTAAATGTATATCATCCCTTTAACGAAATATTGAATGAATGAATCTCACTAAAACAATTGATAAAAACTACTCATCAAAAAATAATATATATTTAAATTATAATTTTTTGAATTTTATTTAAATTAAATTATCATTTTGACATTGCGATAATATCAGGGGTGGCTGAGCAAAGAAAAGTAGGAAAACAGGTTTTTTAGTTGAACTACATTGTAGGGTTGTTCCTAGTTTGACTCGATTTTCTAACAGCACAGCTAAGCTGGTTAGTAGCTATCTAGGCTTCAGAGTTAGTTGTGTGTTCTTTTAATAGAGTCTCTTTGGGTTACTAAAAAATTGTATTAGTTCAGTTCCTACCCAACCATAATCAACTAAATCTTGAACTATTTTTCAAATATTTTTTTTTAAAAGATTAAAAACGTTTGGGTCAATTTATGCATAAGTCGATCAAATAACCACTTAACAACTAGAAAATACCAAAACTTGCACATCTAATGGTTGCAACTACATTAATATGGTTTATGGCATTTCAAAGCAAAAGACCTAAAACAAAATAAATAATTCGGTGTACGAATCACTCATTATTGTAAGGTTCGAGGAAAATAAGATGTATATAGTCTTATTCATTTCTTTATCTATTGAAATACAATTTTCTATTAGTTATATGATGAATTTTCAGGTAAAAGATTATGCATACTTGAAGTTTAATAATTGTATAATACCAGGCCTTGCATAGTTGGATGATGAAAACAAACAGTTGTGATGATAGTGGAACAAGTCATCAACCAAAATAGATATAGAATTTAGGGAAAAAAGCTAGCCCTTTGATGGATAGTGCATACCCCTTCCCTCCATAACCATGATGTAAAAGCAAGTCAGCATCAATATACATTACCCCAAGGCAAAGGCAGTAAGGTTGGTCCAAATCATTTAGGCCAATAATACCAGTTTTTTGTCTTGAAAATTTGAGGACACAAAGGAACAGCAACATGTGAGAATCAGTGTTGGACACACTTGGTGTCTTGAAAAATCCTGATGTTATATGATGCTCCCAAAATTCTTATGAAGGGATTGAATCCAAAAGAAAAGGACTTGAACTACAAAGGGCGAGTGTGTACATCACATTGGAAGAATTAAAATGGACATCGACTATGGTGTAGGAAAAAAAAAATTGGTACTGTACCTCAAAAATTTACTGTTTGTAAGTCATTTTACAAAAAAATAAATTTATTATTTTTGTCAATGAGTTATCATTATTGTAGATATTTTTAATCACTATTGTGATAATTATTTTTACTAATTTTTTGATACCACAATAATAATAAAAATAATAAATATCGGTGTAATACTAAATTTTTATTTTTTTATACGTTCGACAACTCCAATTAAAATATTTAAATTCTTCAACATACACATTCCACACTATCCATCATTGTCAATGCTACAATAATATAATGACATGATAGAGCAACCACAATCCCACTAATGATAGTTTTGTAAGTACTATGACAAGGTTCGATTGTTGGGATAGGTTGCGGTACTATTGGTATTATCGATGCTATCGTATCAAAAATTATAATTTGTAAAATTAAGTTATAATTTTTTTTAGAGATGTAAATTATAATTTAAAAGATATGATCAATTATAGAAGATTATGATCGACATCAAAATTTTTATGATCTATCGTGATCTTCCATTCAACAGTTATTACTTCTTATTTTAAAATTATAATTTTAACTATAAAAAGTGATATTTGAAAATTCCGTAATGTAGAATTTCCGTCGATTGTTTATCAAAAATTATTATAAATGTAACTCCAACAGCTTGACTTATGTTAAAACAATAGCAATCACAATGCATAATTAAAATGTGATTTTGATTAAAATTGGAGGGTTCAAGTGAAATTTACACACCCCTTCCATTCCATCCCCACAAGGAAATAGTAACAGTAAATTGTCAAGGGGACCACGTGTGTGAGGGTGCACCCACAAAACATGTAACTCACTGTGTATTAATGGGTTGCACAGTGAAGCATAGCATGGGGGGGGGGGGGGGCAAAAAGTTAAGGTAAGAAGTAGGGAATTGGAGAAGGTGACCCTACGGTGGGAAAAGGCAGGCGTCGGTAGAGACGTCGCCATCGAAATGACAGACACAGAACAAAGCAGAGCCGTCAGTGTTTCTACAGTTTCACGTCACTGTCAACGTATCTCCATGTATCTATCATCGGCAAGTGTACCCAAAAGGCTGAGGGACACTGCCCTGGACGTATGGATAGCCGTGACCTGTCACTGTCCGAGTATAGTATAGTTATAGTATAGGCCCGGAGGCATTAGGAGCCCTCACGGGAAAGACAAAACAGAGATGTGAAGCTAGGCAATTCTCTCTCTCTCTCTCTCTCTCTCTCTCTCTCGTCGACATTCAATCAGTTAAGTTTCAGATTCCGGGTTATTATTAAGTAATTAGTGATTGAATAAAGAGAAGAGGCTTTGGGTTCTATTCTCTCTTGTCGGTGTATTCAATGCAAGTTCAGACACAGGGTACTTAATTGAGTAATTAGTTATGAATAATTCAAAGCTTATCCAATATTATTAAATGTCCACGCTTCTCCTCTGACAGGGCGTTTCGGGTTTCACGAGACTCTCTCTCTCTCTCACGGTAAATTCACATTTTCGTTGACAATTGGCTACTCAAATATCGAAAATATTCCATGCAACAATAATATTACGTTAAATTTAATTTAATTTATTAATAATTAGTAATAACTTTATTTAAGAACTGCTATGATAAAATAATAATATTCATTAATTTTATTTGATATTTTATAATTAATTAGCAATATAATGTGTCAATAATATTACAATAATAATAATGGATAATACAATTACATCTAATATCTACTCAATTATTAATAGCTGCCCTACCCCGTACCCAGGCGGGAACCAGAAGTGGTATCCAATGAAATCTGCCCTATTTCGACCCGACTTGTATCTATGTCCACCGCGAGCATAGCCACAGCCCAGAGGGGGGAATATTAAAACATAATTTCAGAAAGTCGTTAGTTTATCCTTAGAACTTTGTTGCCTCTACTTCCACGTAACTAAAATGCTATTGATATCTATCGACTACATTTTATTTTTTAACAGAAATAATTGTTACACAAAAGCAAAGACAACAAAACAAATGGTAATACTTGTGACTTGACAATAATAAGTTAATATCACCATTAAATTGAATATTTCAACATAAGTTTGCACATCTGCTGTGGAATTAAATTGGGCACACATCACCCGAACTAGTGGTCAATCATAACCCTTTAGGGTCGTGAGTTCGACTTTGTTGAGTGCTATAATGACGGACTACCCTTCTGACTTCGTAGCTATAATTCAAATCGGACATTCCACAGTGGAAAACGCTCATGATCGATTACCCCTACCCTTTTATACAAGCAAAAACAAAAAATGGGCACGCACACACTATGAACTAAATTATAGAGCAAGAGTATATAACCTCGATTCCAATATATGACCATCTGAAATGAAGAACACATCCAAGTTCCAGAGAAAAGCATGATCGAACTCCTTGAAACCAAGGAGAAAGAACAGAACTGACCAAAGTTCTTGATCTTCAGAATCGTTGTTCTTTTTCTATTTATTTACTAACAACATAAAAACATCACATAATTTAAATGCATATTATGAGGTCTTATCCCATAGCATACTTCTGGGTCCAAGATCGGGCAGTGCTCTCATACTTGACTCTGTCAGTCTTGTACATATGAGCAATCTCAGGCACCAGAGGATCATCTGGGTTTGGATCTGTCAACAACGAGCAGATTGAAAGCAGCACCTGTAGATCCCCCACATCCAAAAATAACATTAAGCTTATTGACAAAAGACACATTTTGGTTCGCAGTTCATGCCAATTCAAAGAGACTACAATTAACTTTTTAACAGAACTATCGATTATGGATAGCAAAGACAGGTAGAAGATGCAAAGAGCCACGAAGACTGCTGTAATACCTTGGATATTGTAAGTGCAGGGCTCCACTGCTCCTTGAGAATGTCAAGGCAGATGCTACCATTGCTGTTGATGTTTGGATGGAAAACTTTGGTTTTAAAGGCAACCTGCCCATTACATAACAAATATATACTAAAGTCCATATACCTTGAAAAGTAATGAACATGCATCAGCCAGATATTCCCTACTTCCCTCACTGTGGAGTAAAATATTAAATACGCATTTCAATTACAGAAACTTCAACAATTACACACATGACATACGGGGGAAGCAAAATGGTGAAATAAGCCTTTGCAGCATATTAAACTTGCCAGTTTTGTCGTTAAATTGATATTAGGTAACCAGTTTTAATTGTTATTGAAGGCAAAATTTATCCACTACGCCACATCAGTAATTCAATAGCCTCCAGTGAAGAAATGCAAAAACATTCTCTCAAAGTTTAATCCACTCCACACGACCCTTTTAACTCGGTTGTTATCCACAATCACCCTTAAGTCCTTTGTATTAGATGGCCACGACATTCTACTTAATTTTCAATGTTAATCCACTCCACACATTACTAACTCAGTTGCACTCCACAATAACCTTATGTCCTTTGTATTTGATTGAGCCGCAACATTCTACTTTTAACTTCTTCTAACCATTGTATAAGCACATAAAACAACTTAACATTCCCTAATGAACTTAAATACACATTACAATAATTACTTTAATGATATGATCAAGACAATGGGGATGACAAGATGGTCGGTGATAAAACTTACTATCTCTTTTCTTTTTTCTGAAAATGCTTATTATCTCTTACTGTCTTGGCACGTGGTGTTAACCTTGAAAATAACATATCAACTCAAACTCAATAGAACTTATACCAATGATCGGACCAACTACATGCAATTCTCCTAATGAAATCATGGCTGTTGTACCTTTCCAAAGGGACAAGAATTTGAGGGCAGACACGGGTTCAAGATTACAAAAAAAGCAAAGATACAAGTGTTGATTGAGTCACAAAACCAGGAGTGCACACTTGAACACGCTGAAAATGGTTCAAGATGTAGAAGCCAGGTTGACTAAAAAGGTATACAACCCCCCTGGGAGGCCACAAAAACAAATCAAAAAACCAACGGGGAAAGAAGAAAAAAAAAAAAAAAAAGGAAAGAGAGAGAGAGAAAAATATAGGCATTATTTAACATAAATGAGTTGAGATCAATACCTTTGGAGGCTTAAAGGGATAATCAGGCGGGAAGTGAATCGACACCAGAAACACCCCTCCAGTAAATGGGCTGTCTGCTGGGCCCATAATTGTTGCTTGCCAATGGAACATGTCTTCACCAACAGGGCCTGTAAAAATGCATAATAAAAAATATTACCAAAATTAAGTTAAGAGTCAAAGAATAAGAATCAAGAAACATAAACTGGTACCAATTTACTTTTTTTCCAAGATATTTTGGACTTTGGGATTCCAAATAATCCCAATACTTGTAATCATTAGGATTTTGAAAACTAGTATTGCAATTTGAATTTTGAGCAAGTCATGGCCATTTAGGCATTCTAATCATTGGACAAAAGGATAGCCCAATGCATTAGACTTCTTTCATTGCAGGGTCAGTAGTGAGTTAGATATAACAGTCTGACCCGATAGACGGAAAGGTAGCTTTTGCAAGTCAAAGCCTTGACACCAAGATGAGTGACCTTATCATTGCATCAAGGCCCACCCCCAATTTCATCATCGAGTAAGAAAGACAAAACAATTACATACCTTCACATGCTAAACCAATGTCAAAATCTGAGAATGGCTCAATAAACATCAGATTGAATCTTAACACACTATAGATAACTTGAGTACAAAATGTGGACTTTCTATTAGCTGTGATAATGAACATGTTTCTTTGTATAGCCTTCCAAATATCAAGTCTTCACCATGATGGACAAAGCTGGAACATCACCATTATGGAGGCCAAAATGTATATATCCTTTCCTGCTAGAGCTCTCAAGGCATACTTGTTTTTTTACATACTCTCAAGGCATACTAAAAGGACACTTTTTTTGGCTTGGGAGCAAATATTTTTGTAGACTTAACTATACAGACTGCTTAGTGTCATCCTAGTTCACACTCAAACCTTTTGTCTCACTCTTCCATTGCAATGATTTGCAAGTTTACAGAAGCCTTGGGAACTTAGAGGTCTCCAAAATAATACAACCTGAAAACCATTTTCAAATCCATATATCTGCCACTACTTTCACGTTCTACATTCATACCCTCTGTAAGTTCACAAATAATCTGGGCAAATTGTTGCCATGTCCCGTCCATCCTATAATGTCAAACTAATCCTAGCGCAGGCACTACAGATTCCAAAGGTAGAGATGACATAACAATTGAACTAACCAGCACTGCAAGAAGCAGGAGGGTCCTTCTGCAAATCCTTTAACTCCTTCTGAATCCTTTTTGATGCCATCGCTGTCTTCTAGATGTTAAATCAGCTGCACAGGATTCTCACTGCAGGAAAAATCCAGAATCATATAAGTAACCCAGAACATAATAAAGACAAATCATTCAGCGCTCAACTATAATACATCTCTTCGGTTCCCCACCTAAAGAGAGGACAAGTATCCCAAGATATAATCATATATAAAACCAATATAATGTCTCAACTTTTTGATGAAAATTTTATAATAAAAATTACATAAAATTCTTATAAGACATTCAGCATTTACTACAATCTCTCTCAATAGATTAATTATATCAATGTAAACTAATAGCATAAGTAACACCACAATTTTTCATCCCATATTCGATTGAAAACATTAAATCTGCTGGTTGACAACAAAGTTCAGGAAACTAGAAGCATTTTTTCAGAGCAACGCAAATAAATAAATAAAAACAATTATCACGTTTTGGTGTTCAAAATCAATCACGCTATAAAGTGGTTTCATTTAAAAGTGATTTTTTTCCTCATATCCAATGCGTTTTCAACAACATACCGTACACAACAAATTCCTAATGACGTACACCCAAAAGAATCCCGATTCTGAGACCAGAAGAATAACATCACTCCATAAAATTCCCACACTAGCAGAGGACACAGATTCAAGCTCAAACGACCACCATGAAAATTCCAAACATAAGTTTATTTTCCTCGAAGACAGAGCAAAACGTACCATCGCTGATTAAAATTCCACAAAATTAGATTTATCAATAACCAGACACTAAAAGATAAAAGTGAAACCCCAATAGAAAACAATAAATAAATAAAAAATCTTCGCCAAAACATATTCAGAATCAATAAAACCAACCACAACCACATGCAACGTAGCGATCTGGCCATAAGAAACATGAACAATAAAAAGCGAAAAATTCACAAAAAAGACATATCAAATCACTGAATCGTTACAAACGGCGAAATTCGTAGCAAACAGAAAAGAAAACCGATCAATCAACCCTCCCAGATTTACTTGAATTAACATGGATAGATGCATCTAAACATGAAAGAGAATCAACGGAGAAAGTTATTTACCGAGTCCGAGAATCGACTCGCTAGGGCTTTTTTCACCTTCGCTTGCGAACTAGTAAGTCTGAGGATCGAGTTATATAGACTTTTGGCGCACCGCGTGTCGGTACAGACCCTTGTTGGCAGTGGACTTCGCGTTCATGACATGCACGTGTGCTTACCAATTTATTTTTTATTTTTTAATGAGCAATCTCCTCTCACATTAAACCCATTCTCATAAATTAAATCCCGAATCTCTGTAATTATTGGGAATATCAATAATTACTTGTAAATTATATATAATGTCTACATATTTTATTGCGTTTCTTACTGATTTTTTTATTAATTGTCAGAAAAATAATATTTATTTTCTAATTAATTCTTCAATAAAAAAATTAAATAAATAAAGTAAACTCAATTTCTTTGTATGGAATTGTAAATATGTTACGTGGAGGGATGATGATTAAATTGTGGGAGATTTATTTACATATTTTTTGTTTTTTATTTTGAGACAGACAAACTATAACACAACTCCTTAAAAGGAGAAGTGTCATAACCGTCATTTATACACACATACACTTCTAAAGCTATCCGATATGAGATAGTTCCTGCCCATTGATCCACCCGACCCCAAAAGCCTCCTCGTACGTTGAAACGAGCCTAAAGTGGAATGCAGCAGAGCCCACAAGGAACCATTCTGGTAAGCACATGGTTGTTTTTGAAATAGACAAACTACAACACAACTCCTTAAAAGGAGGAGTGTCATAGCCGTCATTTATACAAACACACCCTTAAAACTATCCGATGTAAGATTGTCCCGTTGTTTTTTATTAGATAAAAACATTATGTGACAGGGTTGATGTGGTTTTATAATTATATTAAATATTTTTTTTAATTACCAATATTACTAGTTAAACGTAAATAAGCCCATCATGAGATGATATTTTTGAATTAATTATTAGAGAGAACAAAGTTCCAAAATTATTGTAAAAAGCAAAAAAAAAAACGATGTTGTGTAACTAATCTAATTCATTTGTACAAGAATTTATTATTGACCTAACGATTATCGCTCCTGGTCTGGAATCTTAAGATCACGGATTTGAAATTCATCATCCTCCTCGTTATACTAGTGATCAAAAAGAAAAAAAAAGGAAAAAATCTCTATGTAGTGTAGCCCAGCCTGACTGCATTGGACACTATTACAGGCTGGAGGGAAAGCCCATCTGATAGTTATGGGCAGCCCACAAGCTGAAAACATCACAACTGAGGCCTTCTTTGTGGCCTCATTAACATATACTGTTGTTCGGAATATTTACATTACATGATCAATAATTAATTTTTATTTTTGTAATGCACAGTAAGGTACGAGCTATTGCTTGTTCTCTTTTATATATTCTGCGCACGTGAAAAAAATTAGTTCATTAATTTGTTATTAAATTTATTTGAAATACAGAGTTGATGAGTAATAAAATTAAATTATTTTTTATAAAGGTAAGCAAATAATTAAAATACCAAGAAAAAATACACTTACTCTTGTAACCTCAAAATTTAAATTAGATTCACGAGAGGTTGTAATAAAACAAATAAACACAAACATAGAAAATTATAACGTAAATATAAGAATTAATAAACTAACCTCAATTATGTCAAATACTCGACCTGCCACACTAATTTAATAAACTAAAATATAATAATTAATAAAGTAACCTCAATTATCATACCGAATACTTGACCCGTCACACTAATCTCTTAGAAAACTGTTTGACATTAAATTAAAAAAAATTAAGTGTCACAGAACATATGAATTAACATAAACATAAGAATTAAAAAACTAAAATAGAGGAATTGACAAACTAATCTCAATTATGCCGAAAACTCCAATTTCGACTTCATTAAGTTTGTCACAGAAGAGCATGAGATCATAAGATTTCAAATAAATGACTATAGCAGGCCAACTTCTAACTTTAACGTGAATGGAAGAAAAAATTTATTGGATAACTTTGCTGGAAAGTTTGATCTCATGTGATATTAGAATCCTATATATATATATATATAAAGGAATTCAAAATATTTTAGAAGTCTAATAAGTAGGAAAGACAAAAATATATATGTATATGTATCACCTAAAAATGACCAATATGTAGTATTAGAATTTTAGTAGAGTTTGTACAATTGAATGGAAAAGAAAGAATGTATTGTTATAGAGAAAAAATTTATATATATATGAAGGAATTCAAAATATTTTAGAAATCTAATAAGTAGGAAAAACAAAAAAATATATGTATATGTATCATCTAAAAATTACCAATATGTGGTATTAGAATTCTAGTAAAGTTTGTATAATTGAATGGAAAATAAATAATGTATTGTCCTAGAGATAAAGTTTATCTAGCTAATATACATATAAAATGTATATATATATATGAAGGAATTCAAAATATTTTAAAAATCTAATAAGCAGGAAAGACAAATATATATATCACCTAAAAATGACTAATATATGGTATTAGAAGTTTAGTAGAGTTTGTACAATTGCATGGAAAAGAAATAATGTATTGTCATAGAGATAAAATTTATATATATATATATATATGAAGGAATTCAAAATATTTAAGAAATCTAATAAATAGGAAAATATATATATATATATCTGTATCACCTAAAAATTATCAATATGTGATATTAGATTCTAGTAGAGTTTGTATAATTAAATAGAAAAGAAAGAATGTATTGTCCTACAGATAAAGTTTATCTATCAAGTTATAGAGATAATGTTTATCTACTTAATATTTTGATAAAGTTTATCTACCAAGTCATAGAGATAAAATTTATCTATCTAATATTTTGAAAGTCAAGTAGGTATGAAAGACAGGAAAATATGTGGGCATAATTGACTTTATGATAATAATTAAGGGTGAAATAGGAAATCAAAAATTTTTCACACATACTGATATTTATAAGTAGTATAGATATATATATTATTTATAAATGTTAGCATATGTTAAAATTTTTTAATTTTTTATGTTGTCCCTAATTATTATTCTAAAGTCAATGATACCCACATATTATTTTCATTCAATTTTTAATTTCTACACACACTTGAATTCTAAGTTTGTTTAGACTTTTTATTAATAATATTTGAATTTTAAATTATTTTTTCCTAATTTATTAATAGTATACTTTCATACGATTTTTCATATCCATATCTATATTTATATGAAGAAATAAAACTCAATCTATATCCTATTACTATATACATGTAGTTGTCGGATTAAATTCTATAATCAAATATATGTCATGTTTAATTTTTTTGGTATGTAAAAATATCATATTATTATGATACAAACAATAGTATTGTAATTTAATAATTTTTTTGACAAAAAATGTAATCTATATAATAAAGTAGCTATAAATGTTTGTCTTGAGTTTTTCGTGGTTCAACTCGCATGAAAATTATTGATTCAATAATTCTCATGCAAATTTTTTTTTAAGACTCTTATCTCTTATCTAACTCTTTCTCCTAATCTCATACTAACTGACACAACTCTCTCTCCCTTCATCTCATACTTTTTCTTCTATCTCTTACATGTTTTAAACACACTCTCACATCTCTCGTGTAACTTTCCCTTAGACGGTTATATATATATATATATTTAATAATAACAATATATATCTAATATTATTAAAACTTTAATAATAAAGATTATTTCTAACAAATTATAGCTCATTATCATATGTTATGAGCCAGAAATTTTATTTAGGGTGGAAACTTTAATTATACACTCTAATTTGTTTCCTCCTAACCAATCACACCATGTAATATATTTATATTTATTATATCATGTTTGATATATGAAGTCTATTTAACATCAAAAGGCAAAAAAATAATGTATATTGTATATGTATAAAAAATGGACTAATTATCACCATTGTAAAAAAGTGAAGTTAATTGTCATTTTTATATTAAAAAATATTAGTTATTTACTAGCAATCCATTAAATTTATTCAATAAATGATGTTCTAAACATTATCACTAAAATATTAGCATAGTAAAACTATTAAACTAAAATTTAAAAGGTAAACATATTAATAATATAAAAATTTATTTGCAAATAATAAAAACTATAATCAGTACTCGAATAAAAATAAAAAACAATTTTTAGTAGAAAAAAAAAGTCAAATAAAGATCATTTGAAAAAACTTTTACTTGAAAAAATTCACAATAAAATAAAAGTCATCTAAAGAAAGTTTTATTATAATAAACAAAACTAAATAATTGAAATAAGAAAATTATAGAGTGAGCATAAGTAAAAAATGTGAATAATTTTTCGAATATATATATATAATATACATATGATACCATATTTTACAAAAAAAAAAATTTGAGGGTGAGCCCGTGCCCACCTTCACCCATGTGTAACTCTACTCATAGATGTCATCATATATTTATCTATCTATCTATATCTATATGATCATAATTGGATTTTCATTCATTTTACATCTCTCTTTTTTCTATTTCTCACACATTTTAAACACACACACTCTTATCTATATAATAAAGTAGAACGATTTTGAATTCAATAGACAAAAAGTGGTTCGGATCATTTCAAAACCAAAAAAGGCATTATCCAACAGTCGAAGATATTTCAATCTGTCTCAATCTATTGACGTCTCAGATCGTTTCGATCCAACGTACCATATTAACTCTTGAAATTTTTTGCCAATCAAAACTTTAAGTTTCCAAAACTAATATCCCTAAATTAATTCTCCAACCCAATCAAATCCGGCAATTAAGCGATCTCTCATTCTTCAACTTTGTCTCTCTCTCTCTCTCTCTCTCTCTCTCTCTCTCTCTCTCTCTCTCTCTCTCCCTCCCTAAAATATAGATTACAACTCTTATCATTATTTCCCTAATTTTATTTCCTATTTTAAGGAATCACTTTCTATACTGAAACATTGACTGTCTCTCACACTCTTATCTTTCATGATTCTCTTTCCAAACTTAGACATATGTCTCCCCAAAATTCTATCATAATATAGTTGTTCTTCATATTTATTGTTCATATCACACACACATCTTTATTGTACATATATATAGTACAAAGATAGAAGACATACTATATTTAAATGTTATATCTAGGAAAAATTTCATCTAAACACCATGTAGTTAAGTTTAAATTTAATGACAACCCCTGTAACAATAACTTTTGTCTCTATCAATAAACTAAAATATCATCAATTATTTCCCCATTATATATGTGCTAGACAGTCAACAAACGTAATTTCAATCATTATATTATTTTTATAAATTTTTTATTTTAAAACGTTGAATTATAACTTTGTTATAATATTAGTCATCATATTATCACTCATTTGGTTACATAATCAAGTTTTTAAAATTTTTATAGTTAAAAATAATTTTTCTATAATAAAAATTATAATCGATAAAGTCAATATCAAAATCTCATCCATTTCTAATTCCTCTGCTATCATATGTCCTCCACAACGTCGCCCGACCGCCCCTCACACATTATACTTCATATATAAAATTTAAAATTATTTGATAAAATTTAATATTAATTCAATAAATTTGATCTTAATTTTGATAAAATTAAATATTAATTTGATTGAATTTAATGTTAATTGAATAAATTTGAATGTTGTTTTAAACTTTTAATAAAATTAAATTCATTTTGTGTTAAATTAAAGAAATGACATTAATTTGATAAGATTAAATTTTAAATTAATGGGATTTAATATTCTATTTAATAAATTAAATAGTTTAATTTAATAAAATTGAATGTTTATTTAATATTGATTTGATAAAAATAAATAATAACTTAATATTAAATTAAAGAGAAATATTAATTTGATGACCATTATTATTACCACTACCATCGCCACCCCACCCCACTATCATCACCATTATCACTATCACCACCACCTATGTCACCACCCCCCACCCATCACCACACCACCACCATCACCATCACCATTACCATTACCCTCCCCGCCTTTTACCACCACCATCGCTGTCATCATCATACCACCTTTTACCATCACCATCATTGCCACCCCATCACCACTGCTTGACCATCACCATCCCCATTATACCCACCATCACCTTTGTCACCTCCACCCCACTATCACCTTACCATCACTGTCACTTTTCTACCACTGTCGTCGCCACCCCGCTACCACCACCTTTGTCACAAAAACTACCACTGACCCCTACTATCACCACCGTTGCCATTACTATTGTCGTCACCCCCTACTGCCTAACCACCACTACCCCCTATCACCACCATCACCGCTGTCACCTCCAGCCCACCACCATCCTACCACCATCGTTACTATCCAACCATCACCCCCTACCCACCACTACTCCTATCGCCTCACCATCACCCCTCACGACCGTCACCACCACCATCGCCATCGCCACCGTTGCCACCCCCCACCACCACTACCATTGCTCACTCCTATTATAACCGGTACTTAAATTTATTTCTCTTTCATTTATATTTGTAATTTGATTTTAGATGTGAATACAAATATATTTATTGTTGACCATTTTTTTATTACTCTGTGCCTTCAGGCACAGACAATAACTAGTCTCTTATATAACTCTATCTTTTTATCTATCTCATACTCGCACACACTCACACTCACACACACACTCTCTCGCTCTATCCTATATGTATATAATAATAAAGTAATAGGAGTTGGAGAGTTTGGCGTGGACGACTATATATATCTAATAATAACAAAATATATCTAATACCCATTAATAATCTAATCTCTCTCTATATCATATTCTCATGTTTCATAAGTTTATCCCATCTTTCATATAACTCATTCTCTCTCTCTATACACCCGCCAACACAAACACACCAATATCAACTTCTATCAAAAATATATATATATATATATTTTTTTTAGGTATAATGATTAAATATATAAATTGTGTAAATGTTGATATTTTTTCAGAGGTCGTGTTTTTAGAGAAGTTTTGTCAATTTTTTTTAGAAAATAGTATTTTCAAATTGATTTTGAATTGTGTAACTAAAGAAAATAATAAAAATAAATTATTATTTAAAAATATTTATATTACATGACTGGTGTTCGAGATTTTTTGAGTTACTTAGTGCCTTCAGACACGAGTTATTACTAATAAATCTATAATATAATTAGATCTTCAAATACTCAATAATAATAATTTTACAATGAAGCTTCGCTATAAAGAAAGGATGAAATCTCTAATTGGTTAGAGATACTTACACAAATGAAAGATTAAATACTTAAATAATGGTAGCATAGATCAATAAGTAGGTTTAGTAGTAATTACAATAAGAATTAATTATTTTACACATAATTTATTATTTTTTTAAAATATTATTTAAATATATTCATGTACAATATACATCGTAAACTACTAATAGTTAAAAAAAAAGATAAAAGAGAAACAAATATCTTTGATCATGGTGCAGATATTGAATTTGGACATGTTGGGCCCTAGGTAGGCCCATCTAGTGACAGCTTTGCATATGATTGAAGTTGAACGCACTACTTAGTGGGCATATGATGTCATTGGGAAGAAATAATCAAACTTTTTTTTAATTTAATTTAATTTTTGGGCAAAAACATGAACTCGAAAGTCAAAATTATAATAATATAAAATAAGCAAATTTTTTTTTTGAAATAGGAATATTCTTTGATAAAAAAAAAAGAAAAGGAATATTCGACTTTCTAAATGGATTACTTTATCAACTAGGATTTTTATCATTATCAACTAGGATTCGGATAAAAATAAATAAATAAATAGATAAATATCAACCGGATAGAGTGAAACCATATTAAGATTTGGAATGGGTTATAGTGTTCCGGTATTAATTTCAATCAAGTGTATTATTGTTATTTATCATTTAATATTAGATATTAATGAATATTTTGTGATAGATGATGTTATTATTAACAAGTTTAGTATTAAAAATACAATAATTTTATTACTATGATAAACTTATATCCACACCTTCATATAAAAATTACATAATATGTAAATTCTTACTCTCAATATTTATTTTGTCATTTTCAATTTAATACCATACATTTATTATCTAATTTAAAATATAAATTTAGTATTATGATTATAAATTTATACCCTTTTATAACCTTGAATCAATTTTTTTTTTTTTTTTGGTTAGAGAAAAAATGAGTGAGAGTAAAAGAGAACATTCAGAGCCCACTCTGGTAGTGATAGGCTTTCATCGATAGAATCATATAAAATCGAACCGCACCTGTTACTCTTTTTGAATACAAACTTAGTTACATTATTATATTAGTTAACTCTCGAATTTTAATGTGAATTTCAAGATTAAAACTGTAACCTTAAATTAAGAAAATCGGCCGACATCCTACGGAACCACTCCAGTCGGTGGTAACCTTGAACCAAATTTGTTATACAAATTAATACCATTTGAATGAATTAAATAGGAATCTTTTATTTGTACCGAAACAAATATGGTATCAGGTGTATGAACGCACGAGAATACGTGGTGGGTGCAGCACAAATCTTGGAGTTAAGAAACAAAAGTAAAAAGCACAAACAAACCCAACAAGACAAGGTGTTGTTGACAACCCCTTACCCTTACCCACCCCACACCCCACAACCCCTTCTTCTTCCTCCCGTTTCCCGAATTAGATCCTCTGCAATCCCCTTTTGGAGTTTAAATCTGAACCTCCGTCCTGGGATTTTTCATCTGTTTCCATTTTCTCTGCTTTTCAGCCTTTTTTCTGGGCTTCCTGACACTTTTGTGAGGCTTAAAAAAGGTTGGTTTGAAACCTATTTGGTGATTCTGATCTTCCTCATTTTTCTCTGGAAAAGACCCAGGTTTGTCTCTTCGATTTTGTTCCAAGTTCAGGCCAAGACCTCTCAACTTCATTTATTTTTTTTTTTCCTTTACGAAATATTCTGGATATGGAATCGATTCGGTAATTGTATATGTGCATGTAGATGATGTAATCTTTGGTTTCTATACTGTACTTTTTTTTTTTGGGTCAAATACTGTACTCGACTTTGTCGTTTACTTGAGATTTAGACTAGCTATAAGGAGAACCTTTCTTTCTTTATGATTTATGAGGAAACTTAGAAAGACAAAGGAAACAAGAGGCAAAATCTTTTCATCCATGATAACCAACAGGAGCATTAGAGGGGAAAATCTTAACTTTCCGAGGTCCTCCCATTCTAGAACCGATCTATTGTGCTAAAAGGTTATAATTATATTTACCAATTGGTACTATCTGATATCAATGGCATTTGTTTGATTATGATTATTTGCTTTTTGATTGATAAATGGTATCGATCTTTGTTTGTATCATTTCAAATCGTCTTTACATATTTGGTAAAACTATTTTATCACTTTGGCCTGTTGTAATTTGGTCTTTGAATCGTAGATACATAATTGAGCACTTGCATCTGCATTTTAGCTATATATTACTATGGTTTGTTGTATTTGGTAGACTATTTTATCACTTTGGCTTGTTGTAATTTGGTCTTCGAATATGGGAGTAACTCGCATGCAATTGCAATTTAAATATACGAGTCAAAGTTGATTTCTTACAGAATTTCCCAAATCGGAGAAAATCAAAATGCTTATTGATCCAGTATACCAGTAACCTGAACCTAAGGAAGCACTCAGAAATAGAATTAAGGGAAAAAGTCGATTGTACGTGCATGTTTGTCTCATCATCTTATTTAGTAGAAAACCGTAGAATTGGATTAAACAGCAATCCGTCTCTATTTGTATATTCGTGAAGATTTTGTCTAGACATTTGGATTTTAAGTTAATTTTATACATGATTTGCAGGCTTATAAATCGTATAATGGGTAAAATCAATCTGTCATGTTTCACAATTTATCCCATGCTTTTTTGGGGGCTCCTATTAGTTGGTTATTTTCTAATTCTTTCATTATCATTTTGCCAGGACTTAAATCTTATATCACTTTGTCGCACTGGTTGACAATGGGAGGTATATTGGGAAAGGGTGAAAAGGTCGAATCACCTAAGGCCTGGATGCCGGAGACAAAGCTTGATACCAAAATAAAAGAGGCAATGCAGCGAAGAGAATCTGAAGGAAGTTCCATGAAATCGTTTAACAGGATAATTCTGAAATTCCCAAAAATTGACGAGAGCTTAAGAAAATGCAAAGCCATATTTGAGCGATTTGGTGGGTACCTTAATCACTTTCCATGTAATTAGCGTGGTGTTGTTCATATAATGAGCAGTAGATTTGCATGAACTTATGGCCTTAAAATGAAATGCTGAGTGTTGAAAGGAAGTATTCTACTATTCCAATAATAAGTTTAAGTGCTTGTTTTCATCCCAAAATTTGCCATGTATGTAGGTGTTAGAAACAGTTCTAAAGTGTAACATATTTTTCTTTTGAATCTGAAATGATGTTTCTTGAATTTACAATTAAAATTTCCTCTATCCTTGGTATTAACGTTGTTTCCATTTTCAACTAACCCGAACTTATTTACGGTTTCTTGATTGCAAAATATGTGGTAATTTAGGTTTTGATTTCCAACTAGTTTTTAAGTGCTTTTTAAATTATTTTCTTGTCTTTTTCCTTCCTTTTTTTTTTTTTCTTGTTTGCTTCCTTTTTATGGTATCTGATACGAGATTAAAATTCACTTTGTTAACAGACGAGGATAAAAATGGTGCAATAGATCCACAAGAGTTAAAACATTGCTTCCTTGAGCTAGAGATTAATTTTACTGATGAGGAAATCAATGATCTCTTCATGGCATGTGATATTAATGATGATATGGGAATGGGATTCAATGAGTTCATTGTGCTTCTTTGTCTTGTCTATCTTCTGAAGGATGATCCTGCTGCCCTACATGCTGTATCCAAAGTATTGGCCTTGTCCCACATTTATTTCTTTAAGTCAGCTTCATTTGTTTTTTTACCTGATTGATAAAGGCAATCATTTAACTGAATCTTGGGTATATGTGATGGATACAACATCTATATTTTTTCCTTTTCGGACTATTCTGTATTTTACTTTATTGTTGTCGCATTTGTTGCCTATCATATTGAAGATATTGTATCTCCCTCTTGGTTGGAGTTCACTCTGTCTTTTCAAGCTTTGCATCTGTTTTACAGTTCCATGTGAACATCTTCTAGGATTTGTGTCTTCCTGTTATGATCTCAAAATCATTTATTTGCATCATTTACTGTAAAAAGGTTATCATCTTGCCAAACCAGCATTTCAACTAACAATAATGAAGAAGTTTAGGTTTTCTTCTCCTACTTCCCTCCTATTGTATTCCTTGACCTGGACAGAAATCTCGGATGGGAATGCCGGATCTCGAGGTCACATTCGAAACACTGGTTGACACATTTGTGTTCTTGGACAAGAACAAGGATGGTTATGTCAGCAAGAGAGAGATGATTGAAGCAATAAATGAAACTACAGGAGGAGAACGGTCTTCTGGGCGGATAGCCATGAAAAGATTTGGTCAGCTCTCTCTCTCTCTCTATCTCTCTCTCTCTTGTTTGTAATTAATCATGGCATTCCAGAAACACTGGTGTTAATCGCACTAGCATCTACTGGTCCTTGTATCAGAATTAGCTACCTTTCAAGTCAAAGTGACCTGAATCATAATTACTAATCAAGGAAAATCAGTCCGATTCATTGCATTGATTATGTTCTTTCTGCATAGTTTTACACCGAATATTTGCTTGAGATAAACCCAGGGATATTTGTACATTTGATCAATTGCTAGAATTGCATTCACTTAGTTCTTCAACTACCATATGCATGTCTTAAATGTGTGCATTGATGCATTGAGAAGTAATAAGGTCACTTGATCCATTGTTGCAGAGGAAATGGACTGGGATAAAAATGGAATGGTGAACTTCAAGGAGTTTCTTTTTGCTTTTACGGGTTGGCTTGGGATTCAGGACACCGAGGATGAAGAAGGGGAAGAGAATGTTTAAATAAAAATCTTCAAGAACTTCAGCCATCTCTACCAACAATTGGATGACTTGCAACTATATGCTTTTCAGAGAAGCGTTGATTCGTGTTTTTCCCAATAATAGCCATACATGCCGGTCACTATCATAGAGCCTCAGGTTCGTAGTGTATATATATCCTCGAGAACCCGTTGTGTTAATTTTTGAAACCTTGCAACATGATCATCTATGGGTTTTTTTTTTTTAATTTTATAATTATTCTGTGTTATTCCTTTGATTGCATTTTACAGTTCATTCAGTAGAATGGGGGACGGCTTTAATCCCCAGCAAAATGCCAATTGCATGGATTGGCATTGCCGCGCCCCCCCCCCCCCGCCCCCCCCAAAAAAAAAAAAAAAAATAAAATTAGAAGATTTATTTTTCTGAGTCATTAGAGCTAGTTTAGAGTACATAGAGACTCTGGCAACGGTGCCAGCAGGTACCTTGAAACCTGAAGTAGACTCTGGTGTCCAATGACCATCATTTCCCGTTGTTCCAATAGTACTGCCAGAACTAAACATTAAGAAATCTAGTTTGGATGAATGACGATAACAGATCATCCGCTGTACCTGTACAGCAGGGGTGTTATTTCACAAAATGACATGTCGTTTAGTGGAACAGCAGAGTGCTGTACACCAGAGGATCCAAACTCACAAATGACACTTTGCACCTTGAAAGATTCTTAGATTCATAATTTACACTTTGAAACATTAAATTCTCAAAATTTACTCCAAATGACATAAAAAAGTTACAATGTGGTCTGATTTTATGAAATTGAGTATGATTTTTTCATGTAAAACACTTAAAATTGAGTAAGATAAAATTACTTGAGCATGTATAAATAAAAAAAAAATATAAAGATAACAACAAAAATTTGTTGGAGAAAGCATCAGATTTGTTGTTGTGACTACATTAGTACTTTTTTGTTTGATCGAATGTGCAATTCAAGAACTTTAATCTTTGATAAGATTTGACAACAGTTTAGGTAAAAAAATAATGTGACCGAGTAAACGCCAAAAAAATAAAATAAAATAAAATAAAAGGCAGTGGAGATCATGCAAGAAAAAAAAAAAAGAAAAAAATTTCTTACAAAGTCTGAAGTAGCTTTTCTACATTCAGTAGTACAAAACACAATAACCCAATTGACAAGCATTACAATGGATCACAGTTCACATCGGTTACAAATCACACATTTACTTCCCACTGAAATACCTACCCTATCAAAACTCCAACCACAAACTCGCAACAAATCAAATAATACTAGAGCAGGCTATCATGGATAACGATCTAACTGTAACTGCCAGAGCGATAAACACGAGTAAGCCTGAGAACTCGAACGGTTATTTACAGTATACTTACTGCCAGTAAACCTTCCTCAAGTAATAAACACACCCCATATCATAAAGAAACAAGTTAGAACTGGTACATAAAGGTGCCAGTGCCCCGATGGCAGTTGGAGGCACTGACTGGCACAGCAACCCCTGTTGTTTAATCGCATAAACCCAACACATAATCTCCAAAAGCTCACCAAAGAGAGGGGACCCATTACCCCCTAGTCTTGGCCCTTTTCATCCCGAGGCTGTTGTGGAAGGGGGACACAGAACCAGCCATTTGCGACCCTTCCTCACGGAGTGTACCATTGATCATTGCAAGCTCCCGTAGCTGCTGTTTCTTATAGAAATCTTGAGATTCATCCTGCATACAGATAAAGGGATTACAAAAAAAAATGATAAGAATACCACTTTCCCTGATAATAAGTGAAATGAAATTACTATTCCCAGTAGGTCAAGTCATAGCAGTTTTCATTATCAGAGTCCCAAGGCAGGGAAGAAAAAAATTTACCACAGGCTTGAGCAAATCTTCGAGTATCTCACGAGCTTGCATCAGACGGGCATCAATTATCTCAACTGGCAATTCCCCCTCAACAAGTACATGGAGGGGTTCGTTAAGGTGCTCATACCCTGGTTTTCCTCGCATCATCTCTTCCTTCAAATTGTGAATGATGAAAATAGTATGATAAGTCTTTTTGGCACAAGGAAAGAAAGAATAATCCAGGTAAAAAGATAGGAAAGACGATTTCATCATTACCTTGACAGGATCCTTGATACTGCCCTGTCCTCTGATTAGAACACGGCACTCAGTATTAGCTTCCACTCGCTTGAGAGAGTTCCCTCTGGGTCCAAGGAGGCGCCCAACAAAATTGAACTGCAACGGCAAGTCAACATGAATTTCAACATCAAATACAGCAAGACTACAGCACAAAAAAGGAGCACTAGAACAGGAACACGATTCATACATTAGGATATTGGTCCACAGGAATATCAACTCTGATTGTTCTCTTCACAATCAGACCAGATGAGCTACCTTGCGAACCAAGCCAGTTTTGCGCAGATGAGGACTGCATTAAACCTGACATCTGAACATAAAACTCAAACATTGTTAAAAATAACCAATGAAATTAAGGCACCACCATATTTTATCTTTCTTCACTTTTTCTTGTCTTTTCTATTCTAATTTATTTCTAATACACTAGAAACTGCCACACCGGTTGTGACTCAGATAATGCAGAAAGGTCCTAAACTTTCACAAAAAAATTCAAGGAAACAAAACATAGACCACACAAAAATTTCCATTGTATGTATACAAAGAGACTAATAAAAGTGAATAGGTTTGCCTCAATAGACATCAAAACAGCAAACACGCTGTCATGAAGGATATTCAGAGATGATCTTGAATTTACCCAGTATCAAGAGATTTGGAACCAGACTAGTCAAATCAGAATACAAGGCATTTCAATAACTGGTGGGTATCATGAGGTAATACGTTAAGGTGATTGTTAGAATCCTAAACCAATAAACTGGGGTTTTCACAACTAGACTCCTGCAGAGAATGGAAACCAGACTCAATAAATTTAGTTAAAGAGTTGGTGTGAATAAACAAGAAGAACAAGCTTCCAGCAGTCTCCACCACCTAAACATTGGACAAGTCCGCATTGGACACCTAACATTCTAGTTCTTCCATTATACCAGGTACTGCACTTCCTATCAGGAGGTAGTTATAATATAGGCATCATGTAACGGAATCGCGACCTAATGGGAACCTATCCAGCTATAAGTAACTCGAGTTGGGGTTCTCGTTATCTATTAAATCTTGATGTTGTTAGCTTCAAATTACCTGTCATGGAAGAAACACTTCAAATTAAAGTACTCACACGTATAAAGTTAGCATGACAAGTAGAAAGATTGTGTCAGAAATGCTTCCAAAAAGCAGTAAAGAATTAGATTAAGCAAAAAGGTTATGTTAATGGTTAGTATCCGTACTTCTGATTGAAACGGTGATGCCCATCTGTTCACATTGGCTCCTCCATTTGAAAATATTCCTCCTGAAGCTATGGGGCTAGCATGTTCAAGCCCACTTTGATCTAAAACTGATGCATTCCCCAACAGTGTGGTTACACGCAATGTTTCTGCTCCAAAAAGGTCAATTTTCAAGAATAAGACGTACCAGTTAGCAGTTGTTAAGAAACTAGTTAGCAGTCACCAAAATATGGACAGACAATACGATTGTTTACTGAGTTAGTTAAAAATCAATGCTTCCTCAATGTTATTGTCTATAGCATGATATTATGAAGCTGAATCACGAGACTGCTCACGTACTATATTTGAATAAGATGAGGATTTCCAATGGGTCAGTCTGAAGTCTGAACAGGACTTGTAATAGAATATAAAGAATATATATATATATATATATATATATATATATATATATATATATAGAGAGAGAGAGAGAGAGAGAGAGAGAGAGAGAGAGAGAGAAGTCTGTAATATGCGCTAATCATAAAACTCCACAACCATGTGCTAACGCAAATGTACATAACTAGTTCCACTTTTCCGAATAATATCATTATTCTACACCTGTTCGAACAAGCTGCAGAAAGTGGTGAGGCATTAACAGATATTTTCAACTCACAATAACCCAACAACCAGTCAAGAAAGTCCACATAGTGAGACATCCAATGCAGAAAGAATGTGGATCTGAAGATGCTACACCTACAGCAACGAATTTAAAGAGGATGGCTTAGAAATAAATCCAAAAACTAAACTTTTCCCTTTTAATTCTTGAAGATCAATGCTATCGTAACTTGACACCAGGGAATAAGGGTGGAAAATTCTTCTTGTTCTTTACATGTCTCTAACACAGAATACGAAATGTTTTGATCCTCAGGAGTGCATATGTAAACTTGGTTGTTTTCTAGTTGTCTCCTCTTTAAGGTGGTAGGGGAAATCATCTGCTTCTTATTTATTGTCATTTGATGTTTCATGTTTCCATTCTTAATATGGCAAACAATACAGAAATGACATTTAATGTTTTCGAACTCACCCTGATTCAGCAACCGATAGCTATGTGGAAGCACAGGCATGAATGGACTAAGTTTGTGACGCTCTGCCAATAATTCTGAGAGATACCTATCAAGTATCAACAAACAATTGAACCGATTAGAGTCCAAAAGGTCAACATGCAAGCACCTAAAAAAGTACAAGTTTGTGATGGTTCGTATCCTTTCTTCTCGGTGCACAAGGAAAATACTCCCAACAGTTTTTTTTTATGCAAGAAGAAAAATGGATTGAAAATTTGCCATTCCGCGTTGAAACCCTCTGAAATCAAATATATTTGGCAGACTGCAAATGTAACAGTTCCATATGACAATTAACATCAGTAAATCCAATAACCACCATAGATAATTGAATAACAGCTATGAATAATAATAGAATTTGAAGTAACCCATTTAAGCTATTCATGCTCACACCTGCTTTTATTTCATAGGGACTGCAAATGTGAGTTGATGATATGTACAAGGAATACCATCCGCAAGGTTACATGACATAGGATGCTCAATTTTTCCACTGAGGTGATGGTATACCATCACAAATGACGGTATGATTTTTAAGCAGTGTTACTTCGGAAATATAGAAGCATCTTGTATCATAAAAGGAACCTTACCATTCTATAAAGGCCTGTTTTGGGTCTTAACAGCATACACAAATTCCACACAAAAGACAACAAAAAATTATTATATTCACAAAACCAAAAACCCACGGCAACAATTGAAAGTGAATATATTGCCCTATAAAAATTGCTTGCTTCCACTTCCATTCACATAACTTAAGAGTTCTCTGGAAATAACTTCCAAATGTGATACCAAAGCAGGAATGTTTAGCAAACAATACAACTTATATTTAAACCAATTATAGTGAAACACAATAGTTAAATAAAAACAACATAATCACCAACCAACTTAGACCTCTATCATTCTGCTACACGCACCACTGAAAACAAAACTGATCTCAACTACACCACGTGAAAAAGAGTCACATTCATTAAAATCAGATAGATCTATTTCATCACAGAAGCACAAGCATCGAAACTTATTTTATATACAAAAGAGACAATCACTGAGATCAAGCTACACAATTAAGACAGCAAGCAAGAGAAGATCATCTCAGAACAAATTGACAAATTTACTTCCAAGACCTTGTTATCACACCAATCAATTACCAATAAAATATACTGAATTGAGCAAGATCTGGATGTGATTTTCATCTAGAAAAAGAAAAAAAAAAGGATATTTATCAGGAAACAGCATACTTTTCTTGCTCCATGATGGCAGAAGAGGTGGAGCGCAGACTGCCGATATGAGGAGAGTGAGGAGCGGATGGAGAGGGTGAGTACGCCATGTACCTGCCGGAAGACATTTTTCCGGCGATGGTGGCGTCAGATCCCGGCCAGATTGACTCCCCGACAGACAAACCACCGAGGATGCACAGTCTATCTGTCTCTCTAGATTGATTACGTACCGACCTAGCGTCGGTGGTACATAGGCAAATGAAAGCTCCTGTATTTATTGTCCAAGTCACGGGACGGTACTCACAACAGCGCATTCCAGAGGTGGGTGTATTTATGTATGTCACATACCAATGCTTAAAATTAAAAGGTTCTAAATAAAGTTTTTGTTTAATTTCGGGTTTTTTTGTATTTTGCACCCGAAAGATTTAATTAATCTCAATCTGGCTCACTATTGTCATTTAATACATAATATTAGTTAGTAATGAAGGTCACGTAGTAGTATGTAGCATTACTGTTATTTTTTAACAAGTTAATAATTAAAATTAACCCATTAATATTGATGAAAAAACTATCGAAAAAATTTATAGAAGGATCATATTGTAATATTTTTTTATATATTGAAAGTCCAATTTAAAAATTTTAATTTTTGAAGGTACAAAGTAGAATATGCCTTTTAATTTCTAAATTTTCGACGATTCAATTATGATTGATTGTGGAATTTTATTTTATTTTAAATGGGTGTTGAGTATTTTTATTATTATTGTGGGTATTTTTATTATTTTTATTTAATATTATAACAGTGATAAAAATATTTTAAAAAAAAAAATCTATTAATCCCGGAATTTAATGCACATTTTTTATCCACATAACACTATTCTTTTTAGAATTTGGTGACCGAACAGTGAACACCATCTTCCATTTGTGTGGTAGGCATGCAAGTAGAGGTGCGAAAGGGGAGTCATTATTATTGGGCCTTATTCTCTGAGTAATGGTTGTCAGCTGTCAAATGAAAAAGGAGGGTAGCTCACTCAACTTATTGAAACCTATATACACTTCATTAGATTTGAACTCAATACAAAAAAAGTATAATAGGGAATTGAGTGTGCATTTGCTGCGTAATCAATTGGTAGTTGCTGCTCAAAAAATAAAAATAAAAATTTGGTAGTTGGAATGTTATTTTTAGGAATTCATTAGAAAACAACACCAAACAGTGTCACTCTCCCCCACATAATTTGGAAGTTGATAGAGCTTATTAAATAAATAATTAAGTACATATATTTTTTTAATGCCAAATATGTGAATAGGAGTGGGATTCAAATGGCATCGGCGGTCGGAATCAACTCGAGTTTAACTTGAACCTGTTTTCAATTCGACTTTTTGGTGTTGTTTAAAATTTTGACATCTAAAACTATTTGGAATAAAAGTTGGGTTTTAATTATAATTTGTTTCTTTTAACTATGCCTCTTATTTTAATTTATTCTCTATGGTTTTAAATTCTACAATTTATCCCTTTTTAGTTTTAAGCAAACTAAATTGAATGACAATAATAGTTGGAATATGAAAGTACTATTATTACATCTTTCATCTTATACATTATGTCCCTAAGAAATAAGAAAATGAAAAAATTAAGAAAAAAAAATATGCTTGTTCAGTTTAACTTACTGCACAACACCATATTCGCCTTCACCTTTGACTTTACCTAAACATTCTTTTTAGAGGCGGTTGCGTATTTTCAACAAAATAGAGACCACATAAGATAAGGAGAGCTATCACACACATTTAGGATACCCTTCATCTTTTACTTGGACTATAATAAGTTGGAATGTAGATTCAACCAAGCGGGACGAAAAATCTGAGTTTATGAGTTAAGGTGCGTAGAAAAATAGATCTGATGAACTGAATCAGAAGGTAACGGATATGTCGTTTTAAAGGCCCATTGAACGATCGATATTGTTAAAATCAAAATCTAAAAAGGTGAAGAAACAAACTATCCAAAGTTGAAGGGTTATTTTATAATTAATCCATAAAAATTTGGTTCATTTAAATCCAAGTGCACTCATATTTATTGGATCCCAAAAATTTAGCAATGATGTCCAAGCCCAATTCGAATATTAACAAATTATAACCACCGAATAGTTTGATATGTGGACTTGGTTTGAAATCGGATAGACTCAGAAAGTTGCTACCGTAATTAAATAAATTAATGTAGTTAAAAAATTAAATCATAATATAAATCGTTAGATCTAAACGATCCGAACAATATTTATGTTTTTGTAACCGAGGAGCTTAAGCAGCAAAAAAAACTCTATTTTATTATTATAGAGATCTAGAGCACCCAGTGTGACTGCGAAAAGTTGCACCTCATTGTATCTATTAGCTTATTGTATCTATTAACTCTTTTACACAGCAAATGATGGGGTATGATCTTTTCGATACTATAAACGTTGGTATAGCATATGCTGATCAAGGGTAAGCTCTGCCCATGAGATTTTTAACAATTCCTATGTTGTTTTTCTAGAGGGGAGAGAAGATATATCCACATGCCAAAAAAAATAAAACATTATCAATTGAATCATTTCAAACAGGGGTTTCTTCCAAGTCTAAGAGTGAAATTTCAATACCTTTATTTCCCTTCGCTTATACAATATGAAAGTGAAAAAGAATTAAGATAAAACGATTGAAATGTTTGGTACACAAGCTGTGTAACTTTGGTTTGGTGGGAAACACTCAAAATCGACCAACCATTTCAGTTGAAGAATCAATTGCATACTAGAGTGACAAAAACTCTTTCTGCTGCAATCCTCCCTTTTCGGAACAAATTATCATAAGATTTCTCAGCATCAACATCATCAGAATGCAGAAGAAATAGTTGATTCTGACCCGTTCCTCCTATGCATAATCAATCAGCTTTTGGCTCAACGTAAATCTGAGCAATGATCGGACCAAGATGCTTCATCCCCGTAACAAGAGATGGAACAAAGTACTAATCTCAAAGAGAGCGGGGGGTGGCCATTGTTAACCTCCTCCCGGTAATAGTGCCTGACCCAAAAAAAAAAAAAGCCTTGAACCATCTTGATAGCCACAAAATCGATTCGTTTTACAATGGCAAAATGAAGACTTTTTAACCTCGATATTGATGGATTAATCATCTTGTAGGCGCCTTTATCAAATTTTCCAATGTTGAGTCCAAAATAGAAACCACTACTAAGCACAAAGGATGAATCTGCAAGCAGGGAAGATCAAACCTGTAAAACAAAAAAGACAAACAGTAATCATATACTGAGAAAACCAAGTGAGAGGTTTCCATTTGATCTCAACGCTAGAGCTCTTCAATCTTTTAGTAGTCTGGGGCTCTTTGGACAGATCAAAACTAGCCCCTTTCATCCTCAACTCCTGAATGCACCTCGTGAGGGTCCGATTATCGGTCCTCTCTCTCTGCAACTGCCTAGACACCTTCCAGTACCTGCAAAGTTTCATCTGAACCATGAAGATAATAACAAACGAAGTTGACACCGATAGAATCGATGGAACCCACCACTTGTGGCATACATTATGATGATGATCTTCAGAGTATGAAGTAAATAAGACAGTTAAGAAAAACCCATGAAAGATAAAGAAGAAACAACACAATTGGAATATTTCTCTTCTAATGGTATCCATTCTTGTTTCTTTTATGGCAATTCTACGGCCAAAAAGGTTTTCTTCCCTTTGCCAAAGCTTGAGAAGCAAGAGGTGGCCGGGGCTTTCTGAGATTTCCATTAGTGGGTGGTGTTGTATTGCAGAGATTGTGGTCATGGCAGAGATTAGTTTCTGTTGATGCTCTTCATCGACTGGGATTTCGACGATATGAGCTTCTTTCAATTCTGCCATTGATTTGAAAGAAACTAAACAAAACTCACAAAACAAGAAAAATAAATCTAAATCGATGTGGATTTGTGTGTTTTTGGAAAAAAAGAGAAAATTGGTGATATCTCTGAAACAGAGGAATTAGAGAGAATGAGTGCTTGAAGATTTGCAAGATAACGCTTGAATGATTTCTTTGATTTGGTGTCCGAAGGTAAAGGGTGTTTCAGATATTTAAAGCGTTTGTCAAACTCCTGATGTGCGCAACGGTCATATTTTGTTTTTGTTGGCCATCGTAACGGTCTGATTTTCATTTAAAACAAATAGAAAACATAATCCACTTTTTTCTCCAATAAATTATATTTACCCCTTCATAAATTCGCGTAATAGCACTTTAACCACAGCCATTATTAATTTATTTCAAATGGCTGGCAATTGTGATTCATACACTAGGGGCGGAGCCAAAAATTTGTCCTAGGGTGGGCACACTTAACTAGAAAAATTTAAATTTTTTTTTCCAATCAATAAAAGTATTGTTGTATATATCTTTCTTTTTTTTTAATCGTATTACATCTTTAAAGATTCATTAAATACAAAAGGATCAAACACCAACATATGTAGTCTATAAAAACAATACTCAATAAAAAAAAAGGCTAATTATAACCCTTTTCGAAAAATGAGGCTAATTACAACCATGGCCCCCGACAACTTTTCATACTTTGAAAAGATTGTATGATAACGTTATTGTATGATAATGTTATTAATAATGTTATCAATAAGTAATTAAGTTAATAGTAATCAATTTTTGGTTAAGTCGCATCAATTTTAAAAAACTATAATAATTTCAAACAATTATGAATAGTATAAGATTGAAAGTTATCGAAAAAAATAGATTCAATCACTAGTTACAACTTTTTAATATATTTTCACATTTCTTTAAATGAAAAGTGTGCTCGATTATTTTTTTGTATAATATTTAATTGGTCCAAATTTATTATAATGGTCAAATATTTTTAGTTTTTGGTTATGAGAGTAGGTCTAATTCCAACTACCTAATAAAAAATTATAAATATTCATAATTCGAGACCGTAGTCCGGGATCTGATGGAAGATCCTCCAAATTAAATTAATATCTACATGACTTTTTTTTGAAGAATCGCCACCTCTATTTGGAGGAGGTTATAATTCTAACTTAGACTTTATCTTGAAGTACTTATTCATGACTGTTTCAAAAAATTATTTAAGAAAATAGGTATATATATCAATTTTTGCAATTAATTAAACAAATTATTTTATCAATTTTATTTTTATCGCTATTATTCTAAAGAATATATTGTATTAGGAAGCAAATACAAGTACAAATGCATAAAAATTTCTAATTTCTAATTTTAATAAATTCAATCAATATCATTCAAAGTATTAAAAATAGGTTCGGATTGAGAGTTACCAAAAAATAGGTCGACTCAATAACCGCAACTCAAGGTCTTCAGGGCATCCCTAATTACTAATTTGAGATATAACAAATCAAGAAAATAACTAGGACAAAATACACAAAAAAACAAATTAGTAAAAAATGCATAAAAATTTAAATAAGGTCAAAATGCACAAAATATAAATTAGGGAACTAAGCTCATGGAAGGACAAATAGCTTAAGGAACTGAGTTGCCTTCTTGTGTGTTGACTGCTGAGCAGAGCTTCTCTTTATTTATTCTCTTTTTCTTGTGGGTGGGAAGTGGGCAAATGGATGGGAGTGAATGAGACTAAGAGAGAAAAAAAAAAAAAAAAAGGAAAGATAAGATAAATTTTAGTCAAGTGGGCCAAAAATTTTATTTTTCAATGGTGGGTGGGCCAAAAGCTATGTTTTTAATGTTAGACCAAAAATTTTGTTTTTAAAGTTAGGTTAAAAGTTTTATTTTTTTAATAGGTTTGAGTGGATTGTGATAGGTCAAATATTTAATTTTTTAATAAGTTTGGGTAGAAAATAGTGGACTCAATTTTTTTTTTTGTTTTACATGAGTTTAATTTTTTAATTTTTTAAAGTAAATAATGTGGGCCTAATATTTTTATCTTGAATTTTGGATAGACACAAATAATATACTATACAAATATATAATATATATACTTAACTAAAAAATTTGTTCATACATCTAATTTTCGAGTTGGCATGAGCCGAATATGTTTCTCGTCCAAAATTTAAATGTTGAAAATACAAAATTACTTTTACAATTCTTGGAAAATATAAGAAAAATTTTTATCTACACCCCCTCTAAATAGGTCTGTCTTTAATTACACCCACTGCATTTTGTAAAATTTTACTGTACTTTCTTTTAGTTTATATATCCTTTTCATCTAGACCCCCTATCGTAACCACCCGTTATTGACCATCAAAGAAGTGCTGATGTCATACCAAAATTTTCATTAAATGCCAATTTTATCCTTCTTATTTTCCACAAAACCCTTGTTTCACCTCTCTCTCTCTCTCTCTCTCTCTCTCACCTCAACAACCCAATCACCTAGCTACAAAAAACAACGTGGCAATGAGTCCAAGCCATTGGTCCGGTGAAAAATAATGTAAAATATTCACATAAAAAATAAAAAAGCTAGTATTATAAATCGGTGACACTGTAAAAAATTTTTTTTTAAAAAAAATCGGTGAGCTACTTAAACATAATACAAGAAAAAATTTATTATAATTTTTTTAGAAATTGTTTTTTAAAAAAAACCGGTGACGTCGTACGCTTAAACATAATAAAATAAAAATTCAAAATAATTTTTTTTTAAAAAAAACGGTGACACCGTATACTTAAATATAATACAAAAAATGAATTTTTTTTATGTAAACTCTGTAGCCGAGGGTATTTGTGTTATTTTCCTTGCTTGTACCATTGGTGGATTTATACCAACAAATAATATCACCTGGTAAGTGGTATTCATTAAAGTCACGCACAAGGGATAAGGTTATTTTACAAATCGGGTCAGTATTGTAATCCGAAAAATAGTACTACATATAAAATACCAACTAAACAATGTAATAAGTGGGCTCCAAGTACTATTTACTCTATCTCACTTCCTAACACCTCATATATCCCTCAAACAAACATACCCATACTTACAAAAAATAGGAATATGTATTTATATATAGTGTAATTAAAAATAATTTTGAATATGTAATTCTTTATAAAACACATGGGTAAAATGGTAAAACGTGTGTTTCCGTCACGTCTGTTAGTCGACCAACATTGGCAGGGGAGGTCAGTAAAATTTCAGAAAAGACAAGAGATGTCGTTGAAGATAGACCTACTTAGAGAGGATGTAGATGAAATTTTTCCAAAATATAAATATTTCTGTCATTCTTCTTGTTTTTCTTTCGTTTTATCTGATTCAATCTACAATGTTTTTAATCATGCACTATTTAATTAATGGGTTTTGTAGTCTATATATTGCCAATCAAGTTGACATTAAGTCTGGTTAGCACCAGTGGAGGAGCCAAAAATTGGCTTAAGAGTGGACCCTATAACTAGAGTCCACTCGAGTATAGAGAGATTAAAGACTTTAAATTTTCACAAAAATAACCTTATTATATCTTTTATGTTAATAAAATAGTTGTAGATAAAAAAACAAATGGTACAATGAAAGCCCAAAATTACACTCATAAAGCGTGCGGATCTAGTCCAACTACTCAAAATAGCAAATGAACATACATGAATGTGTTGGAATGATCTGGTTTTGCTTATAAGCTTAGGAAGATCAGGGTTATGAAAATTTACTGAATCCCTTAAATTCCACGATTTAGGTGTATCGATTTCAAATAGAATAGATTTGTGATCCAAATTACCAACATGTACGATTTCAAATTGTATACGTGATACAAATATAAAATATATATTAATTAACTATATGTACATAGATTTATAATTATGTATTATTTTAGATAATAGAAATTGAGTACAAATATAAGATAAATAGTAACTAATTTAGTATTTATTGATGTTCTATGATGTATAAAGTTGTATAGTAGTAAAAACAATCTAGAAAAGAATTTCAAAAAGAATTGGGATTTAAAATATTGTACTAGTTAAACTTATGCCCATCGTACCATATACATAAAAAAATGTTGTGCCGCGTATCACTATCTTTACCGCGTACCAAAGCAACTCGCCACACACGATCGAGGTATCATTGAGTAAGATAGCATTCATCAGCCATTGTAATTTCATTTTTATGCCAACAAGTTCCAAAAGTATAGGCTTCTCCTAGATGAGCCTGACGAGCCCAAATTTTATTGGATCAGGCTTAATTAATTAAATGAAGATCAAATTAGTTACGAAGTGGGTTAAGTCCAGTTCATGGATTCGGCTAATCTAAAAGTTCAAGGAGTTCAAAAAGATTAATGCACGTAAGAAGTAATTGCCGAAATTGTCATTTTCAGAGATCAATACTATCTTTAATTGTGTTTATCTTAATTGTAGCTATCCTCCCTGAAAAGTTAGTAACATATTCATCACGTCACCGTCTTAACCAAGACTCCGTGCCTATAAATTGTAATCCCTCTCCACATGAGAAGGACATCTCTCTACACACCCTTACACAAGCTATCATTCTCATAGCTACCCAACTTCTCCTAGAGCTTATCCTTACTCTCTCCCCACCATATACTTTTACTTAATAAATTATTCGGCCATTGTTGCCGCCTTCGGAGTGGAGTAGGTCACCTGACCGAACCACTATACATCTGTGTGTTGTCCTAGTCTTTGCCTTATGTCATTAATTGCTTTATTGATTGTTTCATTAATTATTCTAAATTATACACTCGACTATTAATTGTGCATAAGCCTATTTTGTGCATCATCAAAAACTTTTTATACAACATGAATAATAAACATACATGTAGGAGGAGAATCTGTAAGAATTTTAATGATTCATATATGAAATTTAGAATACCAAAATTACAAGATTTAGAATATACATGTATGAGTCATGATATTCGATCTCTGAGTTTCTTTCACGGAAGGACAAAGTCTTAATCTTCTTCTTCAAGGCACTAGGCAGCTCGCAATGAGACAAGCTAAATTAGGTTATAAAGTGGAGACAAGACCTAACCTGCTATTTATAATGAATCAAATGAGTTCTCTCATTACGGACTACAAATAGATGAAGACTTACACTTAACTGCCTCAATCACATCAATTAAAAAAAATGTACATAAACTCATCAAAATAGATCACTTAATAATATTGAGCTCATCTCATTGGATCATAAATTCAGCCAATTTTTTTACAAACCCAAAATTAACTATCAATTAATAGAAGTCCAATATGAAAAAATTTCAACATTCTCTTACTTGAGCAATATTAATTGTAACCATTTAATAAAATAAAATAAAATTATATATATATTTTTTGAAAAACTACTCTCGGGCTAATCAAACAAAAACTCAATGTGGTCACAATAAAAAAAATACAATCCTAAGACAACATCTCAAACACAATTCGATCCAATAAAACTACTATTTTCTAACCATATCGATCTTTATATCATTTATTGTTATCCATGATTACAAAAAATAATAATTTTATTGACATGAATCAAGACATGGTAGTGTAGCAAGAAAATAGAACTTCAATATGTAATCTGATATATATGTTATTTTCATTGTTAGTCCTCTAAATGATTTCTCTTTAACAACATACTTCAATAATAAGTTAGAGAAATCTATTAGTTTCAACAATAAGATAAAGAAATCTATTAGCTTCAACAACAAGTTAGTATTTTCAATTCTCTAAATGATTTCTCTTTAACAACATATTTCAACAATAAGTTAGAGAAATTTATTATTTTCAACAATAAGATAAATAAATCTATTAGCTTCAATAATAAGTTAGAATGTCTTTAAACTTAAAATCTCAAGATTTTCTCAAATAGCGTAATTGAAGGCATATTTTATTGACAAAAGAGTCATACTTAAAAAAATAATATGTCATAAATATGCACATATATAACATAACAAGAATATCATGTTAACAATAAAGATAATCATTCAAATATTTATTATTCATCAAATAGATGTATTTTAACCATAATGAGTATCAAATATCATATATGAAATTAAATAAATACTAAAGTTTTTAACACATAAATAAACTCTCACTAACCAAGTACATCAAAAAACCTCAAAAATGCTCATGTTCTCAACATGTTTCTTAAAAGTTACAGGTCTTAGTCCTTTGGTTAAAGGATCATCAAATATTAATTCTGTATTAATATGTTCAATCACAATATCACATTTTTTTACTAAGTCCCAGATAGAAAAATAATTAATTTTCATATGTTTAAACTCACTATAATTTTTGTTATTTTTTTAGAGGAATACAACTGCACTATTATCACAATAAATTATTAGTGGCCTAAAGATGAAATCAACAATCATAAGTCCTGAAATAAAATTCTTTAAGGCATATTACCTGTGTTGTAGCTCAATATCATGCTACAAATTTAACTTGCATAGGAGAATAAGTTATGAGAGTTTGTTTAACACTTTTTCATGTTATTACTCTTCTAGCTAACTTGAAAATATATCCTGAGGTGGATTTTAAACTATTCAGACAACTAACGAAATTTGAATCTTAGTAACCAATCACTTCAAAACTATCAATCTTTTGATAAACAAGTATGCAATTTTTTGTCTTTTGCAAGTATCTCATAAATTTATTAATTGCCACTCAATAATCTAATCCTAGTTTAGAAAATACCTACCAAGAACACTAACAACAAAGACAATGTCTTTTCATAGATTTTGATCTCAGCAGGACAACACCAGACACGAAAATAGTTAAACTTGGTATTCTATTTGTCCATAATTTTAAAAAAATATTTTTAAAATAGATTTGCTAGAAACCCTATTAAAAATGTACAAAGCTGTTTTAATGACTTCACCCCAAAGGTAATTAGATAAATTACACTTACTCATTATGTTCCTCATCATGTTTTAAGTATACGGTTACACCTTTTAGCCATATTATTATGCTCGGGACTACTAGATATAGTATATTGGGCAACAATCCCACATTCATGCAAGTATTTGACAAATGGTCTCAAATGCTGCTCAGACATGTTATGTTTGCCATAATACTTACCATCACGGTCAAATCTAACAATTTTGATGACTTTTCATAATTTTTTCTCTACCCTAGTCTTGAAAATTTAAAATTTTTCAAGAGTATCAGATTTTTCATTAATTAAAAAAATATATCTATAACGAGAGAAATCATCAATAAATATAATAAAATATTTATTACCACATAAAATACGTGACTAAGGTCCATTGATGTTAGTATGAATGATTTCTAAAAGATCTACACTGCGAGTTGCATTTTTCTTCTTAGTTTTGGTTATTTTACCCCTAATACAGCTAACACAAGTTTCAAGGTTTCCAAAAGCAAGAGGAGAAAGAATATTATTTTTTATTATTTTTTTCACTTTTTCTCTATAAATGTAACTCAAATGTTTATACTATAACTGTGAAAACCTTCATTTAATTAGAGGTCTTTTGTATACAATATTAACAATATTTGAAGAACTATATTTGTTATTGACAACCAAACATATACTATATAAATCATATGATAAAATACTACAACAAACAATTTTAGAATTTAAAGATAATTTAGTTTTACCACTACCTAAAATTAAAATAATATCTAATTTTATCAACAAGGAAACTGAAATCAAATTCTGCCTAAATGACGACACATAAAAAGTATTTTCTAAAATAAGGTAAAAATCAGTGTCTAAATTCAACCTAACAGTTCCTATGAATTCAACATGAACTTCATTTTTATTTTTTACTTTAAGCTTGACTTTTCCTTCACTTGGCCTCTATTTGCTTGTGAATTCCAGCAAAGTCATGATAAAATGAATAGAAGTCTTACTATCAATCCACAAAAAATTTAATGAAATATTAACTAAATTGGATTCAAAAAAAACAAAGGCTAGCGAGTTACCTTCTTTATTATTTTTCTTTTCTAACCAAGACTTGAATCGAGTACACTCACTTTTTTTATAATCTCGTTTCTTGCAAAAATAATGCTTGACATCTTTTTGAATAGTAGCTTTACAACCTCCCACATTCTAACAATTACCATGTTTTTTGAAATCTTGATTTTTCTTTGGAGTATTATGATTAAATTTTCTATTATTTTTCTCATACCCATTTTCAAAATTAGATTTAGGTTGAGAAACAAACAAAGTAGTTTCACTTTTTTCTTTTCTAATTTTTTTTTCCTTCCTCAGAATCACAATTGAAAATAAAGTCATTTATTGTTAATTATTTATTTTTGGTATTGTATGTAGTTTTGATTTGATTAAACTCACGAGTCAAAGAGTTAAAAGTGTGATAAACAATAAAATCATCAGAAATAACAATTTTGAAAGCTTTGAAATTCGTTTAAACATGGTCTATTTTAAGGATATACTCTATAACGCCACCTACATTATCATATTTAATCCCGTTAGTTTATTCATTAGGCTCTCAATTTCAATCTTATTGGATACTTTGTATCTATCTACTACAACGGTAAAAAACTACTTGTTATTCTTGGTTTTAGGTAAGTCACTTATAAAATGTTCAGAGATAGAACTTTTCTTAACAATCATATTTAGCCGATTAAATTTTTCTCACTCTGCATAATTTTTTTTTACTTTATGGAAGCTCTTACTAGTAAATTTAAGAGATTCATTCTCTTTCAAGGTGAAATTTATATTAGCAATTCCTAGGAGAAACTCAATATCTTGCTTTCATCTCTTATAATTAGAACCAGTCAAAACGTCAATGTTGACATTATTATGATTCACAACAAAAGAGACTATTCAAGGCACCGCGAATATAAATAGTTAACAAATTGAACAATAACTAAATAAAATATGTTTTGAACATAATAAATTATATTTTATTAAAAGAGTTTAAATATATCACTACAAACTCCTCTTTAAGCAGACAATGCAATATGTTATAGATCCTATCTTTTATGAAACTAACTAATGAGAATACTCAAGTTTTGAAAAATTTATCCCCTTTGAAAAAATAATCCCTCTAGACTATTGTACCTCTTAACACAGTGCTTCATGACATCTCTAAATTATAATACACAATAACTCCCCACAGACAAATAATTATATATTATAATTTAGAGACAGTCTCATAATAAAAGCATGAGAAAACTTACAAATTTTAAGAAATTGACCACTTTGATGGCAACCATCCATCTTAATCTATAGAATTTTTCAAATCAAAATATTTTCATGATATCTTTAAATTATAATACACAATAACTCCTTTTGGACAAATAATTGTATATTACAATTTAAAAACCATCCAATGGTACATTACAATAATTCGGCTCATCAAAATGAATCACTTAATAATATTAAACTCATCTCATTAGATCATAAATTCAACTTCAACCATTTTTCACAAATTTAAAATTAACTATCAATTAATAGAAATTAAATATCCATCTTAGCTAAACTTTGCATTAATCAGTCCTTTAATTGAACCAACCAAGGCGAAACATGTTACAACCAAGCAAACAAGGCTAAAACTACGAAGCATAACCCACTTGCCTGTCCAAGTCCCAATTGTTTTCTGCACTAAATACATCTCCACAGGGAAGTATACAACCGCCGGCCAAAAGCTAATTGCTCCGGCCAGTCCCACAACTTGGTTGAAGTAAGGGAAGATCATCGCAATTCCGGTTGTTAATGCAACATAAGCAGTTCGGAAACACAGCCTGAGGAGATTCAATCTAAAAGCTGGCAGTGATGGGAGCTTGAAAAAATGATCCTCGTACACAAATCCACAGTAGGGGAATGTCTCAGCAAACCATTTTTCGACGAATGCAAATACTGGTTGATTGTATACCTGACAACATAAAAAAATGCAAAACGAAAAAAAAAAAAACATAAACTCACGCACATACACACAAAAACACCAACACGATTATATAATCGTGCAATTTGCAGCCTCTAGTGGTTGGAGTTCAACTACCACCCCTTTCAGTTCATACATACAACACATGGATTGAGATCAGGGGGCGGAGTGGGGCTTTGGAGAGTTGGGGGGAAGTGGGGGTTTGGTTTGTCGTCAACTAGGAGGGGAGGAGGGTTGGTTTAGCAAGGTGGTAGAGAGGGGAGGAAGGGGGCTAAAGCAGGGCTGGGTGTGGCTGTCTGCGGTGGAGGTGAGAGGTTGTGCCCGGCTGGAGAAGCTGATATCTCTAGTATATAGAGTCTTGACAAACATGTATCTACGGATTTTAACCAGGCTAAGTAGGGCATCTTTAATCAAAATCTCTTATTGGAGTCGCCCTCGCCCATGTCATTTTTGAAATACCAGGGTATTGGCATGTTGTTTGAATCAACTCCGAGAGTCCAACTACAATTAACACTGTTTATTATAATATAGTAAGAGTACCTACTAGCGGTGAAAATAATGTTCATGATCTATATCAGTCAATCTATTTCTGTCAGGTGACGCAGATAAACAAAAATTTGCTTGTAGTACTCATTCATGTATATGGATCATAGAGAATACATAAAATCCAATGTTGGTACCTGATATCCGCCAACTAAATGTAGAACAACGCAAGCATTAGCAAAGTCAATGAGCCAATATGGCTCGTAGAATCCAAATCCTGTCAAGATGTTTCCTGGAGTAGAATTGCCAAAAGCTCCATAGCCAAATCCTCCACAGCAGAGGTAGAAAATGGTTGTAATAAAGATTGCCATTGTTGAGGCCTTCCTCATGGTGGCCTTTTCTGGTGGGGGGGACCTCAAAGAATCCTTCACATTTGGGAATATTATTTGGTTACTTCACGATTACAATACATTCTTTTATAGCAAATTTGTCTGTACGATAGAGAAACTCCTGCACCTGTATCTCAAGGAAAATATTCGAGAATGGATAGGCAAAAGCAATGTCCCCAAGCGCCTGACAGATTGTCCATACTTTCTCTGCTTTAGTAGAAGCTGGCACTCCTCCAATGCTACCTTTCAGTTCTCCATTTTCTGCATTTTAAGGTTTAATAGGCATCTTTACGAAAAGAAAACGGTTCATAAATCCAAAAGGTTGGGGCAACTGGCATTTCTAAATCGTTTTGATTTGTATGACTGCCACAATGTCATTACAACACAGTATATTTTTCACCATACCTACTATTTTTGCTAAGCCAAGTGCCGATCCAATACTAGCATAGGTGAAGGACATGACTGCAGCAATAATAGAGAGCCATTCTGTATTATGAAAATCAGGTATCTGAGACACAACAATTTGGATGATTCCAAATAGAAGCATATAAGTAGTAGTTCCATATTTGCAAGCTGCCTGGTGCCCTTCTTTATGGTAACAGTTGGACTCCTGAATCGCTCTGCACCAAGAAAAAGGATTAAAAGATCAAAATATGGAAGGTTGAGAGCTAACAGGAACCAAAAAAGAATGAAACAACTTATGTGTCTGCAAGAGCATTTAAGTGACAAAATTATCCAGCAAAAAAAAAATGAACATCAGGCAAATTAAGAAAGCACTTTTATAATAACAGTAAGCTAGAGAGTCTTGTCTGCGTGACAAGTTTCATCGTCTTGTCTCTTTGACAAGTTTTGTTTTTTCTTTCTAGTATGGTTTGTTTCTGTGTTTATCCTATGGCTTCTTCAAGCGCCAGCATGGAGAATGTGGCGAATGAGTATGCACAACTGACATTAGAGGATGAAGAGGAAGGTGGGCTAGTTCTTCAGGCTATCGAAGAGGGGAGTACTGATGCTGATTTTCAGGGGTGCTTAGTTGGTCGTTTTGTTACGGATCGGCCAATAAATTTTGTCACCATGAAAAATACTCTGGCTTCAATCTGGAGACCAGTGAAGGGTGTATTCATTAAGGATCTGAGTTCTAGTTTATTTATGTTCCAATTCTTTCACGAGCTTGATATGGAGTGGGTGGTAAAGGGAGGGTCGTGGATGTTCAATAAAAATCTGCTAGTCATTGGTCGTTTGGAGTTTGGAGTTACCCGACACAAGTTCCTTTGTTTCATGTCGATTCTGGGTCCAAATATATGATCTACCGTGTGGATTCATGTCTGAATGAGTAGGGAAGGAGATTGGGAACTTCATAGGGGAATATATTGAAGCAGATGCAAACCGTTTTGGGGGTATATGGCGGTCGTATATGCGTATTCGTGTTTCTGTGGATATATGGAGACCATTGAAGAGGGAGATGAAGATCAAGAAGGTCGGAGGTGACTGGGCTTGGGTTAACTTCAAGTACGAACGGCTACCAACGTTCTGCTTTTTCTGTGGGATACTGGGACATGGGGAACGTTTTTGTGAGAAATACTTTGACCGTCAGAACCGTCCAGTTGAAATGCCTTATGGCTCATGGCTTAGGGCACCTAATAAACGAACTATGACCATGGTGGGGGAATGGTGGTTACGAAATTCTTTAGTTTCGAACGTAGTTTCCGGTGATACTTTGGCGATGGATGAGATGGCTGTGGATATGGTTAGGGCAGAGGGCAAGGGAGTCGGCCCCGAGAATGTTGTAGCCAAATATTCAAATCCCGTGATTGGTGGAGATACCATGAATAGAGGTGATTTGCATGGGTCATGCGGTATTATCGTTATGGACAAATAATGAGGGGCGTGTGTTTAGACAATCACCAGATGTCAAAAACAGTGATGATACTCTAAATCAGCAGAAGATTTTGTCAACGCCTAATTTGGAAGGTGTTATTGTCATAGATTCTAAGAGGCGCCGTATGGAAGGTATTGATAGGACATTTCTAGAAAGGTGCTGGAGTGATGACGTGTGTCCTCGGCCCCGAGGGCCTCTGCTACGACGGATTGGTCCCCCAGTATCTCCATCGGCCCCCAGGAGTTCCCTCGGGTCCGAGGAACCACGTCTTCAATCCCCAAGTCATTGGTTCCTTATGAAGCCAGTGACTAATGATTGAACCAAAGCTATGCAGGCAATTATGATGACACTCTGCATGATAGAGTCAGTATGACCGGATGAACTAGACATAACCAAAGAGAGTCAGACGCATGGCATAAAGCCTAGAACGGGTAATAAAAAGACAGAACTACCCCTGTTGATATGTGGCTAATAGAGACGGACATTTAATGCATTGTCAGTTGATAAAACATCTAGCATGACTTGATAAGCCAAGGGGGAAATGCATTAAATGCTCTGGGATCCGAGCATTCAATGGCTCAACATTGGAGAAAGAGCATTGAATGCCCAACAGTGCGAGCAATTAAAACAGGAGCATTCCCCATGAAAAGTATGGGACACACTGTCCCATCTCTAAAGGTTACCTACTGATTAGACTGTCAGCAATGATTAGCCTTTGAACGTATAAATAGCCCTCGGAAACACATTGTAAAGGTACGAAAAATCATCGCTGAAGAGACTTAAACAATGTTTTCTTCTTCCCTTCTCTCAAAGAATTGACTTGATCGTCGGAGGGGATATGCCGGAGAACACTCCGGCGCCCTTCTGACCTGTTTTCTGTGTTCCAGGAATTCCTCGCGAACCACCAGGATCGGTTCAACATCATCAGAAGCAATTCATCATCAATCCTTAGGCCCCTTGTGGCTCTCTCAACCTATTCTTTGTTGTCGGATCCACCGTTCCGATCGATCGAATTTCACCGTGGGAGAGATCTGTTTTCATTTCAACTATTGTGCAAAAATCAGCTCGCACGGGTATTCACATGGAAAACACGAGTATCATGGAGGAGAGGGACAACTCAGTCTCAAATAAGGCCTTGGATGGTCCAAAAAACGCAGAATTGGCGGGCTCTGGTGCCCCGGCCCGCCAAGCCCAATGAGTACTTCAAGTTAGAACTGTCGTGGGTTGGACAGCCCACGAACAGTTCAAGAGTTGGTGGACATAGTGTCCACAAAGAAGCCTTATTTAGTGTTCCTTATGGAAGTGAAGGTAGGTAGAGGACAGGTAGAGAGAGTAAAGGCATTAATATGTTTTGAAGGTATGTTTGTGGTTGATAATTTTAGAGGAGGTGGGGGACTGGTTTTGTTGTGGAGGGAGAAAGCATGGGTGAAGCTTCTCAGTTTTTAAAGAAACCATATTGATGTATGTGTAACTATCCCGGATATGGCTATATGGCGATTGACGGGTTTCTACGGTCACCCTGAACGAAGTAGGTGGAAGGAGTCATGGGATTTGCTAAGGAAATTGAGTAGTAGTTCTAATCTTCCTTGGTGCTGCATAGGAGATTTCAATGATCTATTATGTCAGTCAGAAAAGAAAGGTTGTCTGAGACACCCTAATTACCTTATTCAAGGCTTTAGGGAGGCAGTGGAGGATTGTGGTTTGCGGGGCTTGGGCATGCAAGGTCATCAGTTTACATGGGAACACAGTCGTGGTACGAATCAGTGGTTAGAGGAGAAACTTGACAGAGCTCTAGCTACTCAAGGGTGGTTGTCATTGTTTGGGAATGCTTCAGTCTCAAATCTTGAAGCCCCCACGTCAGATCATTCAGCTTTATTCTTGGACTTTATACAGCATCATGATTATAGAAGAAGGAGGTTCCGGTTTGAAAATTCATGGATTCGAGAGCAAGACTGCTGTGCTATGGTGACCGTGAGCTGGGTCAGTGGTGGGGATCGGTATATTCAAGAAAGAATAAAGAGTTGTAGGGCTGACTTACAAGTGTGGGGCGAGCGGCTGAGGCAACAATTCAAATCACGGGTTGCAGCTTGTAGACGTGAGCTAAGGTATTGGCAGGGTAAACGTGATGAAGGTTCTGTACAGATGTTTGAGGAGAAAACTAAGGAGCTTGGTGTGTTGCTTCATCAACAAGAAGTGTATTGGAAGCAAAGAGCCAAGATATTTTGGCTACAGTCTGGAGACGCAAATACAAAATTTTTTCATCACTATGCATCTACCCGAAGAAAGAAGAATTCATTCAAGTAGTTGAAAGATGAGACTGGTCGGAGGCACTCATGGGATGATGGTCTACCAGGCCACATACTTGATTATTTCCGTGATTTATTTGCAACAAGAGGATGTGCAGGAGATGCTATATTATCAAAAGTTAATTGTCGTGTTATGGAAGAGCAAAATCTTAATCTTATTCGTCCTTTTGAGGCGTGGGAAATTAAGGAGACAGTGTTCTCAATGCACCCAGATAAGGCGCCAGGACCCGACGGGATGAACCCGGGTTTCTATCAACACTTTTGGGATATCCCAGGGAATGATGTCACAGTGTCTTACCTAGATTTTCTAAATAATCAGGTAATGCCTTCAAGGCTGAATTCTACTTCTATAGTGCTCATACCAAAGATCAAGAATCCAATGAAGATGATAAATTTACGACCAATTGCTTTGTGCAATGTGCTGTACAAAATAATGGCTAAGGCTGTAGCCAATAGACTCAAATGCGTTCTTCCAGCTATTATCTCTGAAACACAAAGTGTTTTTGTGCCTGGTAGATTGATAACTAATAATGTCATAGTGGCTTTCGAAATAGGACATTTTTTGAAGCGGAAAAAACAAGGTAAAAAGGGGATGGCAGCTCGGAAAATAGACATGTCAAAAGCATATGACAGAATTGAGTGGGAATTTCTCAAACTGATAATGACTCGGCCGGGCTTTGATATTCAGTTTGTGAAGTTGATAATGATTTGTGATTCTACAGTGGAGTATATGGTGGTTCAAGAAGGAAAGGAGATGGAGCCTACATAAGCAGAGCGTGGGCTCCATCAAGGGGACCCTCTCTCACCTTATTTATTTTTGATCTGCGCCGAAGGTCACTCTGCTTTACTGAGGGACTATGGCTCGAGGGGATTAATTCATGGTTGTAAAGTAACTCGGTCAGCTCCTGTCATTTCTCACCTATTTTTTGCAGATGATAGTTTTCTATTTTTCAGGGCTAGCATGCAAGAATGTCAGCGAATAAAGGAATGTCTGAATTTATACGAGCAAGCATCGGGCCAAATGATAAATTTCCAAAAGTCATCTATGTCTTTCAGCGCTAACATGGCTTCCAGTGAAAAGGTGGCCTTATGTGCTTTCTTGGGGGTTTCGTGCACTGAAGACCATGGTAAATATTTGGGCCTTCCTTCGCTTATAGCCATGAACAAATCAGCTGTGTTCTCTTATATCAAAGATAAGGTATGGCAACGTATTCAAGGTTGCAGGAGGAAGATGCTGTCAAGGGCTGGCAAAGAGGTGGTGTTGAAAATAGTTGCTCAAGCTATGCCGACTTACGTTATGAGCGTATTTTTACTTCTGCTGTTACTCTGTCAAGAGTTGGAGCGGATGATGAATTCCTTTTGATGGGGTAAAAAGGTGCTAATGGTCGTGGAATTAATTGGTTAGCTTGGGAGAGATTATGTGATCACAAATCAAAGGGAGGACTGGGGTTTAAGAAGTTACATGAATATAACCTTGCGCTACTAGGAAAGCAAGGATGGCGTTTGTTGACTTCTCCTGACTCTTTGGCATCGAGAGTATTCAAAGCTAGGTATTTTCCTAATTGCACGTTCTTGGAAGCACAGATGGGTTCGAACCCAAGTTATGTTTGGCAGAGTATTCTAGCAACACAGGATATGATAAGGAGGGGCTCTTGGTGGAGGATTGGCATGGGCATGCAGGTGAAAGTGTGCACTGACCCATGGCTCCCAGATGTAGGAAGTCCATATATTGAATCACCGACACCTCAAGGATTGGAAGGGGCAACTGTTTAGTCCTTAATTTGTATGGAGGATCACTATTGGGACATGGATATACTGTATGAGTTTTTCTCTCCACGTGATAGGAGGCTTATACTAGACATACCTTTGAGTGCAAGGAGTTGTCTAGATCAATGGCAATGGACAGAGGAGAAGAAAGGGAGATACACAGTTAAGAGTGGGGTACCGGTCTTTATTGGCTAGGTCCAGTAGTTCCCTCCCATACTCAAACACTGATTTGTGGACCAAATTATGGGGTCTGGAAGTACCGGCTAAAGTGAAGAATTTGTTATGGAGAGCTTGCATAAATTGCCTACCGACCTTGCGGGCTCTTAGGTCAAAGCGTGTGGAAGTGGGGGAGATATGTCCGATGTGTAATAGAGATGATGAGGATGGTTTACATGTTTTTGTTAAATGTTGGTATGGCGCTTGTCCCCAGTTGGCAAGATTGGTTGGGATGCAGAGAGTTTTGCGGATTGGTTCCTCTCATTTCTCCATATTCGAAGCAAGAGTGACACAAATATTGTTGCAATGGTTGTTTGGGGCATGTGGACAAATAGGAATGATCAAGTTTGGCAATGAAGGAGTAAGTCACCAAGCCAGTTTGTTAATCTGTCTATGTCTACTATGAACCAATGGCAGAGTGCAAGATAAGTTCCATGCACGGTGGGGGATATTCATCAAAGACAAAACCTCTCTTACAAATGGTTGAAACCGGGTATAGGTGAGGTGAAATGCAATGTAGATGCAGCAATCTTTGAGAGTGAGGATTTTATGGGTTTTGGGTGTGTTGTGCGTGATAAGAGGGGCAGCATAGTTACAGCGAAAAATGGAGTTCTACAAGGGAGAAAGGAGCCTGCTATGGCGGAAGCACTGAATTGTAGAGAGGCACTAAGCTGGCTTAAGGATATGGGGCTGCGCAATATTACAATAGAGATGGACACTCAGTTGGGGTACAAGCTCTAAATGGCTCTTATAGTGACCTATCCTACTTTGGTCTCATTATAGATGACTGTAAAATCCTATCAACGGATTTAGGCAACTGTAAGTTTACTTTTGCTCGACGATCAGCGAACCATGTGGCACATGCTCTTGCATGAGCAGCTGGTTCTGTGTCTGGTCGAGGGGTCTGGGGTTCATCCCCTCCTCCTTTTATTGTTGAGTTGTTGGCTGTTGATCAAGTTTAATGAAGCTATTCCTTTTCAAAAAAAAAAAGAAAGCACTTTTATTATTTGCATGCATACACTTTCAATTGCCATGGAATAAAAGGGATTAGTATTCGAATTTCATAAAGGCCATCTGGTTAGGTCTAATGCACTCTGCAAACTCCAAATCAGTACCAAGCTATAGAATGCACAGAATATCCGGTTGAAGTTGCTCATGATGTAATCAAGTTGAATATGCTCCAAGTCCAAGTGTTTCCCATCATTAACCAAAATCGCATTTTAGCAAGCCACACTAAGGTTGAGATTTGCCAACCAAATAGTATGACACTATGAAAAAAAAAAGAAACTTTAACTGAAATCTATCGTCATTTTTATTCATACTGTAACCTATACATGCAATGCATCTTTAAAGATCAAAATTGCAATGCCTGGAAGTGACTTCAACATGAAAATTGCAATGCCTGGAAGCAACTTCAACGATAAAAGCAAGCAAAACTTGAAGGAACCAAACATTAACACTAGTGGGCATGAGAGACTTGTTTAACATACCTCATGCTAATACCAGATGTGATGGTATAGACAACTGCAAGCTTGCATAAATTGACTCGTATAAGTATACTGCACACCCATCCACTCCTTTTCCCTGAAACGCCAGGTGCAGTATTAAGTGTCATAACTAACTCCTCCACAGATGTAAGTACTTCATTCATCTCTCCCCCTTAATCTGTGAAGTACTAAGTTTTCATTTCTTCTATTTTCTACAGTTTTGTCAGTATAAATTGATCTAAGGGCATAATAAATAAAAACTCGTACTCAGACAAGGCTCTTGTTTGCAGTGGGCAAGTAGTAGCCATTTTACGCTCATTTTGGCAAAACTAATGTTCAAATTTGAACCCAGCACGTACTACACAGACGAGCACTTGAGATTGCTCAAAGTAGAATTGCGTTTAAAGCTTGTAGAGTCATGAAGTTGTTTTGAATGAATTTAAGAAGTCTAAAATGTTTAGCAGATGTTCAGGCTAAGCAACCCAGTATTGTCAATATTGCAAGGAGATGGTAGGCCAGACAAAACCATTTATGTCAGGCATCTAACATATACAATGTTGGTGCCTATGATGTCTACAATAATAACGCTATTATATACAAAAATGATTGGCTCACCACCATGAGGGAGGTGTTGTAGTGGATTTATACTACTGTTGTTTAGAGTATCAACTAATCCCAGCAGCATATATAAGAAATTATGAAAATGCTTACCCAACAGTTAGAGTAAAACTTTGTCGAATCCACTATGATGAGTACTTACCCAAAATCATTTGAACAGCTTCTGGGTAAGATTTATTTCTGGAGGGTCCGAGCTCAGGGTCAGGAGATCTGTAGCAATTGCAAAAAAGAGACGCCGAAACAAGGGTGACAAATGCAAAAGAAAGCATGGTTAATGGACCTGCAATCCACCCCAGCTGAGACATGCTCCATGCTAGGGATAGTACCCCTGACCCTACTACCGCTGTTATTATATGCGCCACAGCAGTCCATGTAGTCCCTTCATTATCAATTAATAAAAGAAACCCCCAGATTAAAAAAAATTAGTGAAGAAAACAATTATCTAAATCAATACAATTTATTTTCATCTCTCTGTCTACCAAGTTCCAAAGAATTTGCTAACAATTTATCTCATATTCAAATATTCCTTATCTTTCAAGTACTGAAAAGAAAAATACATGAAAAAATGAGAAAATACAATCATATTTCTTAGATTAAAAGGCTTCCCAAAGATCAAAAAGCTGTTGACCTAGATATTTTTGTAAACAAATGGCAGAAAACAGAAAAGTGAAACTGTGATCTTTCTCATCCTTCTAATTGGAAGTGTTTTGTATCATCAGATGATACAAGATTGAAATTGAAAGCAACTAAAAAAAAAAAACAGAAGGAAGATAAAAAAAAAGGGGGAAATTAAGACAAACCAACCAGTTCTGTTGAGGGAAGGCTTTACTGTTACAAGAGAAGATGAAGTTAAGTTTGACTGCAACAAAGGGCTCTGACGATGGCCATCTTCCTCCTCCTCCTCCTCCTATTCCCATGGCCTTTAAAACTTACTTGAAAAAAGTAATATTTCTCTGTTTCTGAAGAATTGTAGTGTATCACTATTAAACTATTATGTGTAATAATGCAGAAAGGTACTTTTAGGGGGTTGGTGGGGAGTGAGAGAAAGCCACCACAACCACTGGACTGTCTGGACAATTGGGGTGAGTGGGGCTATCAGGGCAGGTTGTCCTAGAGAAATTTTTTTATGGGTATTACACACCCACGTGATATGCATAGCTAATAGGGTTAACCTCATTTTATATTTTAAAAAATTGTTTGAATTTTAATTTGTACTCTCAAAGATAAAAATTTATATCAATATATATTCCTAAAAATCAAAAATTTTAATTTACACCCTTAAAGATAGAAAATTGTATCAATGTGCACCTAAAACTAAATTGATAAATTATACCTAGATCCCCTCATGTTTGTCACTTAATCATTTGAACCCCTTCACATTTAAAATATTACTCCTACATCTCATGACGTTTGTATATGTGCAAATATAACCACTTTTCGTTGATATCTATTAATATAATCGTTAAAAAATATGATTTTATCCTAATAAAAAATTATAATTTCATATTACCTTTTATTTTGTGGATTCGATAGACTCTAAAGTTCAAAATCAAACTTATCATTTGAATGTCTAATAGAATGTAGATATTTATATAAAGAAAAATATGAAAAATATTATATAAATATCTACATTTTATTAGACATTTAAATGGTAAGCTTGATTTTGAACTTTAGAGTATATTGGACCCATAAAATAAGGGTAATATGAAATTATATTTTTTAACGGTTATATTAACAAATATCAATGAAAATGAGTTACATGTTGTACGTGCATAAATGTCATGAGATGTAGGAGTAATATTCTAAATGTAAAGAAGTCCAAATGATTAAATGACAAACATGAGGGGATCTACGTATAATTTATCAATTTAGTTTTAGGTGCATAATGATACAAATTTCTATGGTATTGTTTAATCAGAACATGGATTTGTTGAACATGGACTTGAATGTAATCAGAACTGGTTTTTTTCTTTTTTCATTTATCTGCTAGGAAGTTCTTATAAATGGAACATTTTTAGTTTGCTGTAAGTGGGTGTTATTTGATTTTCACTAATTGTGTTGTTGATTTATATGTTATTGTTATTGAAATCTGGTTTAATGATATGTATGCGATTTATATATTAATTTATTATAGTTTTAATTGTGGATAGAATTATTGAAATGGATTAATGTAATCCATATGGGATTGTACATTCGTGTTAAGCAATAACAATAGCAGTTAAACAAAAAATAAAGTATTTAATTCATCAAAATCATTTCATTATTGATTCCCCAGAAGTATAAACAAAATTTCTCATTGATTCTCATAGATAATTATTATGATTTTTCTCTTTATTGGTCAGATAGGGTCTAATTATTAAATTAACAAAATATGGAGTGTGATTGACTAGCTAATGGAAGATTAAATGTAAAGTATGAGATTAAAAGAGATTAGCAGTGGTGTTAGTGTAAATAATCAAGGGTGATGAGTCATAGAATACACTTTTCTTAACCAAAGGCCTCCTGAAATGCATACCACATAGCACTATGTTCAATTACTACTAATAATATTTTTGGCCGAAATTACCAAAAAAAGCCTACCATGTAATCAAATCTTGCAAAACTGGCAGAATGATTGCCTGTAGATGCTCATTTCTCTATCCCGAAAACCTAAACAATAATAACGCATTTTGCTACAAACAAGAGAGGGGAAAAAAGGAACCAAAAATCCCCCAAAAATATTTTGTTAAATAATTTACAGACTATTTCATCTTCAACAAGATTAATTAAGCAAACGAAAAGTTCGACTAATGGCTTCAACCTACTTTGTATATGTATGTATACTGGAAAACAGTTTTTTTGCGGGGCGGCCACAAATTAGTCTCCTCTACCCACCCTTGATGAGGCAGAATGAAGGAAGCAGTTGATTGCTGATACACAAAATTAATCTTCTGCTCTATGTTTCTTAGATATTTTTGAACCCGGAACAAAGTCATCATATGATCCATCATTACAAGCTTTATACTCCATCTTGTGCTTCTTGGACTACTTTGACATAATTGTAGATTTAGATTCTGGTGGCAGTGTCGTCTTCTTCGTTAAAACAGAGGAGGAAGAGGAAGATGTTTTCCTTTTGATAGGAATAGTTTTAGCATTTTTCTTTACGGTCACAACAACTTTCATTGGCGAATCTAGCTTATGCTGTTGAATCTTTTTCTTTTTCCTCTTGAGAACTTCCTTTGCCACCTCCTTGGAGAGTCAATCAGACTCCATCATCCTACAATCACCATCCTACAATCACATCAGAGTCCACTTTATTTCAAAATCACGGTTGAACATACGTGATAGTGATCACTGATGCAAGAAACAAAGCTGAGGTAGCTCAATTGAATTAAACTACAGCAAGTCCTAGAATATTGAATAATAAAAGCTTTAAGCAGACTTAAATTAAATTGAATACTAAAAGTTCAAACACTCAAATCTAGAAATGTTCCACATCATGTCTTATATGCACATATTATACAAAACATCCATCAACTTTGGTGAAAAGGATCAAAGAGTATACCAACAAGTGCTAGAATCAATCTACAAACAAAAGACATGCAGAGTATAGAACCTAACACTACAAAGGGCTTATCATTCACATGCTAAACATACTGAAAGAATCTTTTTTATTTGGGAGAATAAGCAAAATAGAATAATTTCTTACCAGAAAGCTGTCATTTTGCTATTGGGTGCTTGCTTATACAAAGATTCATAGAAAATCTTCACTAGGTGTCTTTGGAAAAAAGAGAATTGCAACACACCCATTACTCAAATAGTCCCAAATCAGTTCAAACTAACACACACAAACATAATTCAAGGAACAATTTAACATACTTCATCAGGAGGGTCTCGCTTCTAACCAAGCAAATCACACTCCTTCCTCTTCCTTTTCTTACACCTCTACTTAGCCTTTTTGGCCTTTTTCTTCTTTTTCTCCTCCTCCTCCATCTTCTTCTTTTTGTGCAACTTTAACCCCAACCCACAACAAATTCAAGAGCCAAACACCAAGACAAAACATATACTAACAACCAAGGATTAATTTCTAAAACAGAGTAAACCCAAGATAAAAAAAAGAACGTATAACAAACCTTATTAATCTTGCTTGAGCCCTTCTTAGTGGTTGCTTCAAAAATATAGTCTACTTCTTCTTTCTTCACTTTTCGTTCCTCTTTCTTCACTTTACCTTCCCTGTGGGAGCCAGAACTGGGACTGGCATGGTCGAGTTTTTTCTTGCGGTTTTCAAACACAGGACCGGGGTTTTCTTCGTCTTCCTCAACCTCCTCTTTCTTTATGTGCTTTGAATGTTCAGAATGCAATTTTTTTAAGGGTTTAAGTCGGGTAGAAATTGCAGAAAATGAATGAATTTGGTGATACTGAGAAAGCTCTGAAAGCAGTGTGAAGGAAATAAGAGAAAGACAAAGAGAGTTTTGGAATGTCTTTGGATCCATATATGGAGAAATTCGCCAGCGTCCCGAGTGGTGGAGAGAGTGTTTCTGGGTATGGAGTTGAGGAAAGATTTACAGAGAGAGAAAAAGAAATGGTAGTGGAGAGTTAGGTTTTGAATTTTAGAGTTTTTGAAATTTGAAAAGGGTAAAAAGGATAGACCTTTTTTTTTTAGAGTTTGTTCTCTTAAATTTCCGTCCATAAACACAATTGGGTGGCTGAGTTGCCTTCTTTAATAAAATTTCTAATAAAATAGTGACGTGGAAGACATTTATTGGCCGTGCATACCACATGGGCAAAGCCAAGTGGTGTGCAATACCATAGAAAAATTTCTCCTTATTCTATCTATGTTTTAGAACTGGAATTCAGTAGAACACAAGAAAGTCAAATAAATTAATTTTTATATCAATTAAAACCCTTTAATTATATAATTTAATCTTACCTACAATTCCCGGTGACTTTGAGAGGGGTATAAATGGAAAAGCAATAGAAAGGTTTCCCTCCTGAGTCCCAACAAGTATGTTCCAACTTCCAAAACCATAAAACAGGGCATGAGAGAGAGAGAGAGATTGTCATCCATATGGAAAAAAAATTTCAATCATTCATGAACTCAAATCCAATTCAATATTTCAACCACAAATTCAAAAAGAAAAAAAAATTAAACCTCTGAATATTTTAATTTAGACCATTTAGTTCATAAGAATTCTATCAACTATCAAGTGCCTTCAGCTCTGGCCCAATCCAATCTTTTAAAGCACATCACTTAATCATAGACAAAGAAAAGAAGATTGAAAATTGGGCATCAACTCCAATTCCCTGCCCTCCTGACACCCAAATCCTTGTCCGATAACAAAAACAACATAATGTAAAATGGTATACCCATGCGCAAGGCTGTTGTCATTGTGGGGCTCGGAGAGAGTTAAATGTTTGCAACCTTGCCCTTATCTCTGCGGAGACGTTGTTTCTGCAAAAACAACAGAATGTAGCTCTATCAAATAATTTACCAGATGGAGCGGCCAGGATGAAGTAACTGGAATGAGTATGGATCGAAAGAGAAATACCAAAATATCATGATCCAGAGATTAGAGAGACGGACATCAAACTCACCCATGTAGATAGAGAGATAAGAATGAAAGAGAAAGAGTCGGGTATCTGCCGAGGATTTTTGAAGGAATTGGGGAAGAAGATAACGGGGAGAGAGAGAGAGACCAATATCCACACTCTTAACCAAAGCTACCTCATAGAGGTAAACGTTAACCTTGGAAAAAGAAGCTATAGCCCACATAGTTGGACTTTCCCACACTCTCTCTGTTGTAACTCTCTTTCCAACTCTCACTTTCCCAACCTTTCTTCTTCCACCTACACCATGCCAATTGCCACCACCGATCTCCACCACATCCCACCATTCAAATTGCAAAACTCTAACCTGCATTAAATGATATTGTCAGCATTTTATAATGCTGTTGTAACATTCATTGATACTATTTTGCCAATATGTCATTCAAATATTTCAAACAAGTTTTGTATACACTACAATGGTGGTGTTTGGATGACAGGATATGGGGGGATTGGATTGAAATTGTGAATGGGATCCATTGATCCTTGGTTTGAGTAATTTGAGTGGGATAGGATTTTCGTTGGGTTTCAAAACATCGGCCGTATGTTTTGAAGGCTACAATCCCATCTGCATGTTATAAAGAAATCCCTTCTGCTGTGATGGATTGTGAAATTGAGAAGTAGGATTACCTATGTAAATTCTAAAATACCCTCCACAATAAAATTGTAGGGTTTTTATGACCATTCCCCATCACTCTCACTTTCACTTTCACACTGGTCCCCCTTTGTCTTTGAACGACTGTATTTTTCCTCAACTAGGTTTGCCTCTCTCTCTGTATCTCTCTTTGTGTCTAAGTATACTGTCATTTTCTTTGCCATTTATAGTGGGGAACACATGTAAACATTGAACATTGCATGATGTTCGATATAGATCAAAATAGTCGAGTTACTTACCTCCCGTTTTTGTTGGTTTTTGTGGATCTCTATGTCTCTTTATCTCCATTAATAATGTGCTCGACCTTGCTAGTTCATCATCTGATCTTCTTCTTCGAACGTAGTAACAGATCTTGGATCGGATTTGAAATGCTTAGATCTGCCATTGTTGACCAGATCTGTTCAAGGTAGTAGCAAATCTGGCCAAGGAAGCAGTGGATCTGGTGGTGAAGGAGTGGTGTTTGGGAGGCATGAACACTGGGTTTCATTTTTTCTTCTTCTCTCTGTCTGTATGTCTCTCTCTCTCTCTCTCTCTCTCTCTCTCTCTCTCTTTCTTTCTGTATCTGATTCGTTATCCACCGCTAACATCTGAAGATAGCATATGGGTTTGGTAATTTTGTAATTAACAATGGGTGACCTCTTAAGTAAACACTGTATTTGGGCTATTAAGTAAACAGGTGGTGTTTGGGCTACTCAACCGATCATTTGGGCTGTGTTTCACAGATTTGGTAAAAGAACATATGGGCTACTAATTAATTAATTTGTTGGTAATTGCTTAATTAACAAGGTTTGAACTAAGAATCTATGACATAATTTGGGCTATAAAATTTTGTTTTGGGATATAAATATCTGATTTGATGTGATTGTAACATATTGGGTAAAAATTGATTTGTGCTATTAATTAATGAAAGGGTAGGTAAAGAGAGGTTTTGGCCTATAAACATATGTTTTGTGGTGTATTTAACAGATTTGTTCATAAAATATTTAGGCTATTAATTAATGATATGTTTTGGGTTATAAAAACAACATTTGGCCTATAGGAAAGATACGAAAGAAAAATGCTATAAAATTTTACAATTTTATAGGATTTGGGATATTAATTGCGGCTGGAAAAAAAATTCCCTACATTTTTATTTATAGGCCAAAATACATTTCATGTTTTTGAAACACATAAAATACCACAAATAAATGAATTGACGTTTGGGTAATTGACAAATTTAAATATGGTTCGGATTAATTTGTCAACTTATGTTAAAAAACAATTAGGTTTGATTTGGAAATACAATACATAGGTTTTTCAATTTAGAATGTAAAATTTGTATACTATACTTATTACAATACAGTAATGAATGGTCATATGTGTCTCAGTTGAACCAATTTCACACATTATAATAATCGTACATGTGCATAATTTTACTATATTATGTTCAAATTATTTGTGCCAGGTTTGTGAAATACATTTGCAAAATTTTTAATGTTCCAAATAAAATAACAAGTTTGTTGCAATTATAAATATCAATGTGTTGTTGCTTAATAATGTGTGTTATTTTGTTTTCTCTACGGTGTTTCGTAATCCTATCTCCATCTCAGGTAATAAAACGAAATCACTTATCAATATGTAATTAATCATGGTACCTGTTCATCACATATTTATTTGTCTTTGTCCATTATATGTTAATAACATGTTTAAAAAATTAATGCATGTATAACTCGAATCAATCATCATTCGTAAAATGTGATTTTTCAAATTTGGCTTAACTTAACAAATATATTTGTAATTTATGAAATTTGCAGTGAACATGGAAAACCCTAATGATGATCAATGTGTTGTTTCTTGATATGTATAATGGTCGGGATATGGGACATTGAAAACAATGTCAATAATAAAATGGTGTCACGACCATTGCATAGGAGTCGCCTATAACGTGAATACTTACATCGTTTAATTGGTGAGAGTGATACGAATTGTATAAACCAACTCAGGATGGACAGACACACGTTTGAGGTATTATGTAATTTGGTGCGTGATTTAGGAGGATTACATCCTAGTCGGAATGTTAGTGTGGAGGAGATGATTGCTATGTTTTTATCTATATTAGGGCACGATGACAAAAATAGGCCATTTAAGTTCAACTTTTTTCGCTCGGGTGAAACAGTTAGTCGACATTTCAATAATGTATTGACTGCGGTGTTAAGGTTGAGAAAGGTGTTACTTAAGTCACCTCAGCCAATTCTGGAGAGCAATACTGACCCTAAATGGAGGTGTTACCCATTTGCCATTTGGTTGTGGTGGAGGGTCTTAAAATCAAGGCAAAGTGTATGCCTTATTTTGTTGAATAGAATGTAATCTACAATTTGTGCGTGGTGTTATACACGAGTTTAACATTAAGACCTTTTGTACGACTTTGTCGTTTTTTAGATTTTATGTAACAACCTACTATTGTGAAGTACTAAATGTTATCTCTAAATACAATTTTCACTGATTTAGTTGTCTTGTATGGTGTGTTGTGTTATGCATGACCTAAATACTTGGGTGATACAAAAATATACATTATACTCGATTTTTGTATATTAGACGAGCTTGTGATTTTTCAACACTTATGAAGAAGAACAAATTTGGGAGAAAAAGTATATGGCAAGGATATGGCAATCTCTGCCATAATTTGTTTACTTTTCTTCGGATAGCCTTCGGATCTTCAAAATTGTTTGAAATTTTTGATCTAAGCAAAGCAAATATATATTTTCTAAGGAAAAAAAAAGACTAATTTACAACAAATACAAAAGGTCATGAGCTATTTCTATGTAAAATATGAAATTTCTGAAGAACAAAATTATTTTGAAATGTATATATCATACCGTTCTGGACTCTTAACTTTCTCTCAAAGCTTCAATAGAGGCCTATAGGATTTGTATACTTTTTGCAACTTCCAATCCTAGATGGTTCAATCTACGGGCCAAAAATATATAACAAAAATAAGCTCAAAGGTTCATAGAATGAAAATGGGATATCCTTAAAGAGCTTAGGAAGGCTCTGTTTTATACTTTCATAATATTTTCCTGAATTTAACTACCTACCATTCGAAATACTTCATCTCATTATAGAGAACACTTACATTTGCCCCTTCATTTTCCTGATCAGGCGGGTTATCAGACTGCTCAGCTCCATTATAATGGTCGATTCATCTCCTTATGAGGCGACTGCGATGGGCTAGTATCAGGTGAGGAATGCTTTCCAGATGCTGGGTAGTATCAGGTGACTGCTCAGCTCCCTTGGTCCGTATCTCTCTTTCTCTGTATTTCGTGTTTGTCTTTTTCTCTCCCTGATGTAGAAGCCGAAGCATCTGGACCCATCTCCACAGTTTGCAAGGGAAGATGACCACTTTAAACAACTTCAAATCTAGTTAATGCGGCTGTGGTTTGGTTTTTTTGCACTTTACCCCCTGTCATTATTTAAAATTTACCACATAACTCTGTTATAATTTTGAAGTAAAATGATACTGTTATAAATTCTCTCATAATTGCCAAAATGTAACATGGAAGGTCATGATTTGAGAGTAAGTGTGTAAAAATATTCGGTCTAATGAAATGGTTTGGGTCACATTAAAAATAATAATTGTTCTGGGGAGTTGCGTGTCATTACAAATATTAAATTTTATGATTTTAATATTTTTGCTCATCCTTTCCTTTCCTTATACAAAAAATGTAAAAAAAATTAACAGCAACATAATTTAAATTGACATGACGTGTGCTAGTGCTTCATGTAATAATATTAAAATGTCCTACCATTTTGCATAATAAATTGTATTTTGGTCATTGAAAATATTAAATATGGTTTGGATTAATTTTGCTCTTTATTAAAAATTAACAATTAAGTTTATTATTAAACACACAAGTTCAGAGTTTCAACAAATAAACAAATAACGACTTAGACTTGAGTTGTATCGATATGTTGTATTGTTTTTGTGTTGAAAATAATTTTTTTTTCCATGATACATATGATTTTTGTGTTAAAAAGTGTACTATACAAATTAAATGAAATAATTTTTACAAAATAAAAATATGCAATAGTGTATATAAATGCGTAATATATTTAACAATATTTTTGGATGTAAAATAGACAATACTAATGGATTGAATTTTTTTTTCATTCCATTCCAAACATGGTATAGGATTGGATCACATTATTGTACATAAGGGTGAAATGGTCTTTTTACTATGACTTATCTTCACATTTGAATTGGGCCCACAAACCAAATAAAACCTATCCAAACATGGGATAGTATTAGAATCCCATCTTTATAATTTTTCAATCCAGACTACTTTACATTAGATTGGATTGAGTTCGAATTCAAATCCAATCCATTCTAATCCTTTCATGGTGATCCAAACACCACCAATGTGTTTATGTTGACCCAGGATCTTCTTTCTTTTAAGGCGATAAATTTGCTTTTTTATTTTCCCTTCGTGACAATCATGGTGAAATCCTCGTGAAAGTATCTTCTCTAACAGTTTAAGTTCACTTTAAGTTCTTCAAGTAGACAGGTGTTTAACAATCCTAAGCAGCTTCAACTGGTTGGGGTTCTGCTGAACAGAGCATGACCAATTAGTTATAAACAGTTGATGATTATGTAATTTCTTAGAAATCTCAAGCCCAATGTGAAG